TATCTGTGGGTCATACAAATACTTATCCCGTGTGGGAACCGAACCCACAACCCTTTGCCGAAAGCTTAGCAACGGCGCCACCCAGTCATCATAGAAATTATTGTAAAACTCTATTCATAATAACGTTATAAATGCGAAATTGTGTTCATTCATATATGATTCGACGAATCCATATTCATTTTTGCATAAAGATATTTTATTAAAATGATAGGCTTCTTTCATGGAAAGAAGTTCGGGGGAGAGAACTATAAAAACCTATCAGTACAGCATGTAATAAAATACCTAACCCAATAAGTACCACTTTATAAACGGCGTATTTCCGTTAAATTTTGGCTTTTAATTTGAAATCACATACAGACACTTCAATGTTATTATTTTGTAGATAGTCATTAAGTCGTGATCAATACTAAGGTGTAATTATTCATCATGTAATTATATATTATCATTACTATATTATCTAATATATAAAATTCTCGTGTCACGGTGTTTGTAGTTAAACTCCTCCAAAACGGCTCGACCGATTTTCGTGAAATGTTGTGTGCATATCGGCCTGGGTGGAGAATCGTACAACATCTCTTTTTCATCCCCCTAAATGTTAAGGTTGGTCCACCACAAACATTTTTTCTACACTACAAATTATTTATATGGCCAAACAACGTTTGCCGGGTCAGCTAGTATTACTATATTATTATTACATTGTTATAAGGTGATCACAATTATGATTAATTACAGCAAAAAGCATCGTTTTGCAAATTATGCATTTCAGCCGTCCAGCTACCTACATCTTTTAAAATAAAAGAGACATAATAACTAAGAAAATTAATCCACCTTCATTGTGCATTGTTAGAGTTCCGTGTCCAAAGGGGGAAATAACCCTCTGTCTGTCACCAGGCGGTATCTCATGAACAGTAATAGTTAGACAGTTGACATTCTCACAGATGATGTATTTCTGTTGCGGCTATAGCAACAAATACTAAAAATCAGAATAAAAATATTTCAGTGGAGCTCATACAACAGACATTATTTTTCTTTCCGTTTTTATAGATAATGGTACGGAACCCTTCGTGGGCGAGTCGACTCGCACGTGGCCGGTTTAATTTGTACTTTGCTTGTTTCACAATGCAATGCAATATTGAATTAAGGTCAAAAAAAATAACATAAGAAATGCTGTAAAATACGACAACGACACGAGGATATACTTTTATTTAAATGAATACCATTACAATATACTTATAAGTATACGTATTGTCCTTATCTATACAGTTATATAACATATATTATACAGATAAATATAATTGGAATGTCTGTTTGTAATATTAAAATAACCCTATACATATTAAAATACCTTTTTACTAAATGTATATACAATTTTTGTCTGTCTGTCCGTTCGTTCCAGCTCATCTCTAAAATGACTGGACCAATAGATTGCTGATGTAATATGGAGTAACTTGGGTTACTTTTATTTTACTTTTTTTTAAATTCCACGCAGACCAAGTCGCGGGCAAGACAGCTAATTATAATCTATGCTACAAGATTCAGATAAATAAAAATGGTAAATACTTACTAATTGATATTTTTCTTTTTACCGTGTGTTAATACTTCATTTTTTTTAAACAGATACCTTTTAGTTGTCTAAGAATTTTACAAAATCTTGCCAAATTTCTTTGAAATTATCTTTGAGTAGAGGTTATGCGTCATGATTTAAGGAATTAAAAGTTCCCTATTCTAAAACTTGTATATACGAATTTTTATAAAACACCTTTTCAGATTTATCTCGCTTTATGATTCTCACTTCCGACGCTTTGAATACTTTAAAGATTAATGCGCCTTACGTTCTGACGTCACTGTTGACTTGGGGTGCTGACGGCTAGAAAATTATCGAGTAATTTATTAAAACAATTTTCACTTATACGAGTACAATAAATTAAGTTGTTATCATACAAAATGTATTTAATTTACTTAAAGTAAAATTATCGTGTTTGTAACTCTCTTCATTGTGGTAGAGTCACGGAGCAGTTATCTACAAGTGATTACCATTGGCTATTTTTCTTCTTACCGTGTGTTAATCATTCGATTTTTTTAAAACACATGCCGGAGTCTTTTATAAAACCTCTTTTTTGATTTATTCCGCTTTATAATTTTCACTTCTGACGCTTTGAATACTTTAAAGGTTAATGCGCTTAACGTTCTGACGTCACTGTTGACCTGGGGTACTGACGGCTAGAAAATTATCGAGTATTTTATAAAAACTATTTTTAGCTTTATAACAAATTAATTGTTATTGTACAATGTGTATTTAATTTCGTTAAAATAAAACCATCGTGTTTGTAATTCTTTTCATTGTGGTAGAGTCACGCAGTGATTATCTACAGGTGATTACCAATAGCTAATTGTTTACATCATCGAATTACATAACCTGATTAGACTAAGTAATTTGATCCTTTGGGGTAAATTTTTTCGCTTTAAATTACTTTAAACCTCCACAGGAATGAGCTGGCGTAATGTAAGTAAATATTATATAAATATAAAAGAGAATGTATGGGTGTATGTATGTTGACCTAAAACTCAATTTTAGTTTTACCGTCTTTACATTTCAAACATTCGTAATCATGTCAGAGATTGAAGAAGTTCATTTGTCGTAAAGCAAACGGCCTACTGTCAGATGCGTTGATACTTTTAAATTGAATCGTTTTTGTGGCGTGGTTAGTTGTTGTACTGTGGGGTAAACTTTATTATTATCATCCCTAAAACGATAATATAATAAAACAACATTATTAATGGAATGTACAACACTTTTTTTTATTTCAGCAGTCTCTCGAATCTTTCTTGGAAGTTTTTACTTCTTTCTTGACTTCTTTTTTGATCCTCAAGTTTTCTTGTTACCGAAATCACATGCAGATAAAACGTAATGCTTTAAAAGAAATTATAGAGTATTTACCATTACACGGGAAATAAAAATTCTTATAATGTATAAAAAAAAATTTATCAATTTTACGTCATCCATACAACATGAAAGAATTAGGTAGATATAGTAAAGACACTTGATTAGATAAAAATATCGGTATAGATAAAAATCTACGATTTATTCTGAACAAAATTCAATTCATTAACAAAAATTATAATTTCTGTACCGAAGTAAATGTGTTCAGATAGATATATTTTTTTTATCTATTTGCTTATAAATGTTTTGAATAGCATAAAAAAAAACTCGCAGTCGGTAGGATTCGAACCTACGCTCCCAGAGGGAATCTGATTTCTAGTCAGACGCCTTAACCGCTCGGCCACGACTGCACACTTATTTATTACTAAAATTTTAATCTGATGCCGAAACTCGTATGAACAAAAAAACCAGTTACAATGATACGTAATTATATATACAGTAGTTAGTATGTTACTATAACTAAAGAAGAAGAGAATTCAGCTTATAATATTGTTTTGAATACACGCGCCTTTATCACATACAGTTTAAAAATGATTAATGGAGTAGGTACTTTACTAATTTATGAGTTTAGAACTTTTTGTAACATATTTTGACGTAATAATGTTTATCTATTCGTCTAAATTTAGACGGATTTCAAAATAAATACCTCATGTATTAACTAACAATAAATACTAAGTATTAAATATTTTTTACAATGTTTGTAAAAATTAATTACCACTTTAATTAAGTCTAGGAAAATAAAATAAATAACGGATCCTAATTTACATTTTAATGTTGCCATATTTTTAAGATGTCTTATTGCCATTTTACAAAAGTTTTAACGAACATAAATTTATATTTATTCAAAAATATTATAATAGTATACAGAATAAAACTACTTCTGTAATCAATATAAACACATAAATAGGCTAACAGTATTGTGTTATGGGACAGTCTTTGTATTGGGGAGAGCCTATATCAAATAGTGAAATGATGATGTACATAAATAACACTTATTTCTCTTTACTAATTTAATAATTGTATTCTGACATTTAAATGATCCTTTGTCTATTAATAAAATTTATGGAATAATCATTGAAATAATTTGCGTTGATGCCTTATCATTACAATCAGTTTTTCAAAATTATAAAAAAAATATTATAAAACATACAACAGACATGATATTTTTTTGTCATTTTTATAGATGAAGGTACGAAACCCTATGTTTGCGAGTGCGGCTCGCACTTGTTTTTTTTACTAAACATCTTATTGCAAGAAGTGCCAGTGGAAAAAGTATAAATAAAGGATACCCTACATTTGAAGTAATTCATCACACATCTGCCACTGTACCGTTGCATAAACAGTAATCGAAGAGAGTATGAGGTCGATAATTGTATTTAATTTTTTTCGTCTACAAACGTCACCTGTCTAATTTTTAGCGGGAACTCAAATTGTACATGGCATAGACAAACATGTTTTATTTACATTTGCAATTCCGAATTCGACATAGATATTTTAATACATTCGTTTTACTGTTACTTTTGAACCCAGTTTCATGGCGAACGTTTAGCGATTGCTCAACCGGTAGAGATATATTTGCGACAGAGTTTAGTGAAGTGAATGCTTTATTATCGATTGATGTGCATTGCGTCAATTGCGTTTTATTGCAGTAGGTTACACTTCAAGGTTAGAAAGTATACAAGGTAAACTTTTATTCGCACATACCCGCAATTCTTTTTTTATTAAAGTGTCTGGTTCATTAATCATTTATAAAAGTGGTTTCATTCCTTCTTAGTTTACGAAGAAATTTTTTTAGCTACATGATGATTGATTGGTATATTAATTAGAGTAGGATAATAAAAAACATTATATTCATAACATTAATACTACATGCACACGCAACATCACTGACTAAAAAGCGTTCGAACTACTTTTTTATGTAAGAAGATGCCCAGCGAGCTGGTAGTTTGGAGCGCCCCCTATGTACATTTACTACACCTGCAGATGCACTTAAAGAGTAACGTAATTTTTCTTTGTTCACAGAAAATGACAACGTTATAGAACATAGATTGAAAAAAAGATGGCCGCCACAATTTGCAACACTGCTACGAGCACAGATACAAAAGAGAACTTGAAAAACTTGAATTATAACAACGAAAGAACAAACCGAACGCTCGTAAAGATTGCAGAGCAAATCGAGTTAAAAACTGTGGACAGGAATATCAATGTCGATATCGAGGGGAGTTATTGTGTTGACTGCACGAAGAAGATGAGAATAAGCAGCGAAGATCCAGGGACGCAGCGTCTGACTGACATTCAGCAGTTTTACAACGGAAAGAATGTTCTAATAACTGGTGCTACTGGTAAGCTTATAATTGTGTTTATCATTTATTCATTCAATAATTACACTGTAATTAGTAAATTCGTAAGCGAATGATAAGTTTTTTGTGGTACGACCACTCAACAGTCTTCGCTGTTGCACGAACGGGCAGTGACGTCCGGGAAAGTATAACGACCTCACAGAATGCCGGCGTAAAGTGGAAGTATAACACTTTCGCGTTTCGTCTGATGAGTGAGGTAGCCGGAGCCCAATTTTCAAAAGGTTATCAACGCATCTGCAACCCTCGGGTGTAGCGGATGTCCATGGGCGGCGGCATTCACTCAACATCAGGTGAACCGTCTGCTCGCTTGACAACTTTTCACATTAAAAAATACTTCTGCGTTACGTCTGCGGCTGGTCTATGAGGGCCCACTTTATTAAAAGGTGGCAACGCACCTACATCCCTAAGGGTGTTGCAAATATCGATGGGCGGCAGTTCTCATTTAACATCAGTTGAACCGCAAGCGAGCTTGCCAACTTATCAAATGGAAGAAATAAGTTAACTTGAAAATTTAAAAACTTTTGTTTGTACACAAAATGAAAACTTAAAACGAAACTTTTATTAGATGATTGTGTTCAGTGACCATGGATCCACACAGATATGTGGCAAATATACAGATGTAAAGGTTATAAATATTTATTAATAAAATATTGCAAACTTAAAAGCTGAAAATCTATAAAATAGTGGGCCCCTGTTCACTCCTCAAGTACAAATCTCTCGTACAATTATTTCAAACTGTGTAAGCCCACAATCGATATAGGAATAACGGAACTGAGAAACTAGCAATCTACGGTATATTTCCATTAACTAGCATTATTTTAATTTGATTTAACAAGCGAGGCTTACTAATAACGCTTGCGCGTTCTTATGAAACGTCAAAATTTTACAAGAAATTAACACGTTCGTAAGTTACCATCGGTTCGGAAAGCAGTTTCTGTTGAGAAGAAACCGGCAAGAAACTCAACAGTTGCTCTTTTTTTTTAAATACAGTTTACAATATAATAGTACAGGTACAATAGTCTTGTTTTAGCCTACGTGAGTATCAACAGTATTAACCCCACACATTGGCGTCGTCAAGATATTCGGCAATAGTATAATAGGCTTTAGCCATAAGTTTACTTTTAATTTTTCGTTTAAATTCATCAAGTGGCAGACTTAATATCGACTGTGGGATTTTATTATACATGCGCACACTTTGCCCCATGAACGACCTGTTTACTTTTTGTAGGCGAAATAATGGCGTAGTTAGTTTGTCCTTATTTCGAGTATTTAGTTTATGTCTGTCACTATTCTTTTAATAATTATTAATATTCTGTTTAACATACAAAATATTACAATAAATATATTGAGACGCAACAGTGAGTATATTAATCTCTATAAAAAGATCTCTGAGTGTATTCCGGGCTCCGATGTTATAAATTGCTCGGACAGCCCTTTTTTGAATAATAAATATTGAATTTATATCAGATGCACTACCCCATAACAAAATGCCGTACGACAAGATGCTGTGAAAATAACTGTAGTAAACAAGTCTGGCAGTGTCGATGTCTGATAGCTGCCTAACCTTCCTAATTGCAAAAACAGCGGAGCTTAACCTATTCGCAAGAGATGATAGATGGAGACTCCATTGGAGCTTTGAATCTAATGTGATTCCCAAGAATACAGCGGACTCAACAGGATTAAGGGTTACGCTATTCAATTTTAAGCTAAAACTTTGCCTTCTTACGTTGGGAAGGGCAAAAAGAAGGCATTTGGTTTTTTAGCATTTAACACCATATTATTAATGGTAAACCAGTGGAGGATACGCGAAAGTGCACTATTCACGTCCTCATAATTCGATACATTTCGGTCAACCTTAAAAATAAGCGATATGTCGTCAGCAAACAGTACAACATCACATAACTCACTGGCATAAAAGGGGAGAACATTTATATATACTAAGAATAATAATGGGCCCAAGATTGATCCTTGTGGGACACCCATTTTCATGGGGGACCCTGCGGAATTTACATCATTTATAGATACTTTTTGAATTCTATTACTAAGGTAAGAGGCAATGAGATTGAGGGCGATGTCACGAATGCCATAATAATCAAGCTTTAGAAGGAGGGTTTTGTGATCCACGCAGTCGAAAGCTTTTGAAAGGTCGCAAAAAACACCTATTGCATCTTGCGACCCTTCCCAGGCGTTATAAATATGTTTGACAAGTGCGATACCCGCATCTGATGTCGATCTGCCTTTAGTGAATCCATATTGCTCATTGTGAAAAATTTTGTTCATATTAAAATGTACTAAGAGCTGATTTAAAATTAGTTTTTCAAAAATTTTACTCAGAGATGGCAATATGGAGATAGGTCTGTAGTTTCCTGGATCATTTTTATCCCCACTTTTGAAGACGGGGATTATCTTACTAAATTTCATAAGATCTGGAAATATTCCAGAATCTATGCAGTTGTTAAAAATATTAGCTAAATGTGGTGCAATATATGGCATTATTGTTCTCATTAATTTTATGGACATGCCCCATAAATCCCCTGTATTCTTAAGATTAATAGAATTCAAAACTTTTATAATATAATAAGTATCTACATGATTAAATTTAAATGTGTGTGGACAAAAGGTAACATTATTTCTTAAAACGTTAATTGCATCTATGGGAGATGATTTTAATGTACATGTGACATTAACTGCAATTTCTGAAAAATAGCTTTCAAAACTACTTGCAATTTCATTATCCGTTGTTATGGGAGTATTTCCTATAACCAGTTTTATAGGTTCCTTGAATATCTTGGGTCTTCCAGATATACGGGTAATGATGTCCCATGTGGCTTTAATTTTATTGTTTGAATTTATTGTTCTATTTCTTATATGAATAGATTTTGCCTGAATACAGAATTTTTTAAATATTTTGGAGAACATTTGTACCCTTTTATGAAAGTTGGGGTCATGATTCCACTGCCTCATATTATATAATTCATACAGTGAATCCCTACTTTTATATATACCCACTGTTGCCCAGTCACTAAATTTTAATTTTGAATTTTTAACAATTGTGCGCGATTTAAATGTATCATTATAAGAAGATATGAGAAAGTCAACCATTGATTTATAAGAATCATTAGGGTTATTGACTTCTATATCTTTATTTAACATATGATGTGCCACTTTGTCTTTAAAAGAATTTATTCTATTAGTAGTGACTGGTCTACACTTGATCTTATGTTTGCTTGTAATAACTTTTTCATTTATTGAAAATCTTAAACCAAAGTGGTCAGAGCTCAGATAATTTATAACATATTTATCATATACATTATCGTGGCAGAAAACGTTATCTATACACGTGGAGGATGAGTTAGTGACACGAGTTGGTTCATGAAAAAGATTATTAAGTTTAAATGAACTAAATAAATTTAAAAGTCGTTTACTAAGATGTGTCACTTGTAATAAATCCACATTAAAATCTCCACAAACTACTACTGATTTACTACTTGAACAGAGTTTTTTAAGTACATCATCCATTACACACTCAAACAGATCGAAATCACCTGAGGGGGGTCGATACACGCATACTATAATATACTGTTGACTCTCAACGCAGGATAATTCTATAGAACGTTCGACAGAGTGTGCTACTATATCCTGTCGATTTTTACAGACTATATCAGTTCTTACTAACACAAGAGAGCCACCGCGAATAGCATTTGCTCTTACGAACGAACTTAACAATTTATAGTTCTCTATATCTATAATATTAAACTGCTTATGTAACCATGTCTCTGTGAAGCAGATGACATGGATGTTAAATCTTCTAAGAAACAGCTCAATTTCAGGTTCTTTGCCACCTATGCCTTGTATATTTTGGTGTACAATATTTAATTTAAGTGGCTTAGGTGTTGTCTCAATGTTTAGTTTAAACTAACATTGTTTTTTTGTAAAATTATTGCTAAGTAAAATGTTCTTAGTTGTACAATGTACAACTGGGTTTTGTATATTATATGCTACTAAAGTAGCAATTATTTTCTTATAATATAATGGCAAATACCAAGTATTTTTTGTCACCTTAAAACTAGACTTAATAAAACTATTTATGTCAAAATAAAAGAAAGCGTCACTATGACGGTGAGTTGTATTTTTTTTTTTTTTATTTTTTTTTATTACCAAAATTATTTTAATAAAACATTTTACAATTTAAAATTGGCCTTTGACACTTTGCTTCAAAATCATGTAGTAATTCATCAATGTCATTGTCCAAATCATCACTTTGTGCCATTTTTGTGACCATATCACTTATTAAAAATGCACCAATAGTTGCTTCTTCATGGTTATCTTGTATGTCTACATTAATCACATGTACTGGTTGATTATAAACTGATCTTTTTGAACCAAACCATTCTATAACTTGATCATACACTCTCTCTTCACATGTAATAATGACATCAAACCTTTCAGTGGAAACTTGAAACTTTTCGGGATATCGTTTTATTCTACGATTTCTATCCAACATGTGGAGTAGTCCATTTTGAGTGTAATAAGCCTTGTCTTTCTCTAATAAATTATTATAAATATCATCATAAGGAACTCCAAATTCGTAACAATTGGGCCGGTCAGCAGAGGCACCCGGGAGCTTCACCTTCTCGCCGGTACCAAAAGACTTAACTTTAAAACCTTTTTTGACCAAAAATGCATGAGCTTCCATGCTTCGGTTCATATTTGAAGAGCAAACTACTGCTATATATAAATCTGTTAAAGTCATTGTACACGTTATATCAGGTATTTTATTTTTAAATTCCTATAGTTTGCTAATTCTTTAACAAACATAAAAACGTAACATTGAATGTATAAATATTGGTTCATTGTATAAAAATATTCATTTTACTGTGAAAGTTACATCAACAACAGTTAAAATTGCGATATATATAAATATATATATAAACGCAATTAATGAGAGCTGTAGTAATATAAGTCTCTAGGTGCTTCGATCTTCTGCATAGTTCAATAATTTAAAAATTGGAAGCGATATGCTAACACGCTTTCTAAAGCTAGAAACGTTTGGCAAACCCCATTAATGCGGTAACCCATTCAATATATGACCGCAAGTTGCGTCATAACACATAGACCTAATCCGCTGTCAAATAGAAAAGTGCCATAGGTGCCTTTATTTTTATTTTCCAAATTTAATTTAATTGACCACAGACAAACGTCTTGAGATTGAGTTTTATTTAACAATAAAATAACAAAGCCAATTATATAATTTTAATTCATAAATTACTAGCTGCTGCTCGCGACTACGTCTGCGTAGAACAGGCTGAAGGCGTAACATTCAGGCAGAAAGACATGTATACATAAAAATATCTATATAAATTATAGCTTAAGTCTTAGTCTGATGTATAAGCTATATTATTGTAAAGTTTAATTAAAATCGATTCAGTAGTATTTGCGTGAAAGAGTAACAAACATCCATCCATACACACAAACTTTCGCCTTTATAATATTAGTAAGGATTACAGAAACCTATTTTTATTATCCACAGATATCTGATAAGTATCCAACTCGTCTTCGAAGTAAGAGCCGTGATGGATCAGTGCTCGGGCGCTCTATTTAATCCAATATAATTGTCCCGATGCCAGCACTAATCAAATTGTTAACTTAAAGTGCTGAATTATCACGTTCTCAACTGTAAAGGAAAACATCGCGAGGAAACATGCATATTTTCGAAATACCTAAATAAAAGAAAATATTTGTAATAACTTTTTTTCTTCGAAGCGGGATAGTGATTCCCAGTAATTTTGCAGTTCTTAAAATCGAGTATAAGCTATAAATAATCATTTACGCATCTGTTCGTCCTTTGTTTGTAAGTTCTTGTAACTTACAAACAACGTGATTTATTGAGGTCATGTCCACCCGATTGACAATCGAAAAATAATGCTATGTTGAGTAGTGGATTCTTCGATCCACCCTCGTGTCTACGTAGTAGCTAGAAAGTAAATAATAATTAGGGTACGAACTATATTATTAAACTTAACCTATTCTATATGCTGTGAATATAATGGTTATTGGATTAAAAAATACGTTATAGATAAAAGCCTAATAAGACACGAGATTACTTAATAGTGAAAAGTAAAGAAATAATAGTGAAAAAATATTAGTCTAAATATCTAAAATATGAATATTTATTATACACATATATGTCCTTAAATCGCTTCGAAACTGTGATACCAGTATTTAATACACAGTAAGAACTTAATTGATGACTCCGTGGCGTAGTTGCTAAGGTATTGGCTTCGGCGTCCAGGGTCGTGGGTTCGATTCCCACACGGGATAACTATTTGTGTGACCCACAGATAATTGTTCCGAATCTGGGTGTTTGTCCGCGTGAAATTTATGTTTGTAAAACGTCCTTACAACACAGGATAATGTTATCCTAAAGTAAGGGCAATGTTAAAATGTTTAAAAAAAAGAAAAAATAGTTATATTCTTAAAATGTTCGACCTGAATTTATTAAAATTATATATAATATAAATAATATAATAATATTTTTAAATGGTTTTGCCTTGGCACACACTACACTGCAAAATGCAAAGGTCTTTGACCGCCGTGATGAAACACAAAAATTGATCATCAAAGAAGTGGCATTGATATTACTGATGATAAAAAAAAATATTCTAAATTGGATAATAACAGTTGTAAAACCTAAAATTCATACAATCCGTCCGCATCTCGGCACATTCAACACGTTCGCATCATTAAAAAGTAGAAACACGTGCCGCGTAAATCGTTGCGAAACGGCTGGTTTTATTAAACGGGCGACCCAGAAATTATACGAAAGCTTTCCATAAACGTCCGCGTTATGTAACCGCCTAGCGCGCCAGTGGGTTAAGGTCGGACGAAAGAGATTTCGCGTGGCGTGTCTACGCGGAACCGGGTTGCCGATGCCGCGGCCGGTGCATTGCCGCGTTTATTTTAAAAAAAAAACCGCTGAACCGTTCATAAATAATGTCGTTTATTAGACGGAATAATTATTAATTTTCTATCGAAAATTTATTTTTAAACGGTTTTATAATGGATCAACTGATTTTATATTTAAACTGTTTTAGAATTTGTGAAATGGATGTAAACGAAACTTCATTTTAAGAGGTAATTTTTTCCGGCACTTTAAGGAGAAATAATCAGAGAAACCAACAATTTCAATAACAGTCGTCAATTAGTATTAGGAGGTAAATCATCAAAGATACAAACGATATTGCATGTGAATGAAACCTCCTCCTTTTTGGAAGTCGGTTAAAAACAACCGACTTCCAAAAAGGAGGAGGTTTCTCAACTCGACCGTATATACTTTTATTTTTTTTATGTGTGTTCGGATAACTTTGTCATTTATGAACCGATTTTAATGATTCTTTTTTTGTTGGAAAGGAGATATCCTAAGGGTGGTAACCATGAGAGGGTGGAAACCCAGATCTAATGATGGCATCCCAGAGAAATCGAGGGCAATCCTCAAATGTTATAGGAGTTGAGAATGTTTTTTTTAGTTTTCTGTTAGAAGTCGTTTTTTTTTGTTCAAATTTTATCTATTGAAGCCTCCTCGATAGCCACTTACAAGGCCTTTCACTTGGAAGGTCTCCAAGGTATGGAACCTCTGTAGTACTTATGAGCGTGCTCGTGTTAAGAATTACAGGTTCCTTAGTACTCAACGATTTTATAAATGATTTATTTTTAGTTATCACTGAGCTAGAGGACAGTAATCGCTAGTGTTATCGATAAGTATATTACAAACGAAGTAACCAACCTAATCTTTGACAGATATCCGGTTAATTTCTGTCTAATTCATATAGAATATTATAAATAAGCGTCGATGTAATCCAAACAAACATCAAGAGAGCTCAGTCTTATCCAAGTCCATGTAAGCGATGGCATCATCGTAACCAATTTGTCTAACTGACGATGCTATTATATAAGAATCGATTATAACCGAGAAGATTTAATGAAACATGCCATTATCGATATTTGAATCTGCTGAATGCTGTTTTCGCAGAAGGGAAAATCTTCGGTACTCTGATTAAATAAAACAGTGATAACAAATAAGTAAATAACACGATAAAGTCACTAACATAGAAGAAACTGTTTTAATGATTTTATCATGTGTTAATTTCGTTCTAAATTCCCGATGTCGTCAACACTACAACAGTTATGGTCGCTCTACAAGTGGACATACGTACCATGACGCACCATTTTACACTACAATATTTCGAATTCGCGTAAAATCTAAAGTGAAGTAATTCATAAGGCGTTTGCAGAGTAAGCGAAACACAGGCTATTACTCCTTATTTTAATATTAATTCGAATCTTGTAAAATAAGGATAAAACATTTCTATAATAATCAAAAGAATGCTTAAATTTTTAGCTTAAAACTCAAAAATTTGCACTTAAATTGTACTTGGAACATTATGATTATCCGCTTAAATGGTTTGAAATAATAAACCAATAAATTATAAGGATAATAGCCATCCGTCAGCAATCTCAGCAGCTCAATTTCAGCTGGTATGACATGTGCAATACCTTTTTTTATTTAAACCTTTACATTTTCTACCTTTTTTTACTTTATTATCCTAATACTTGAACTAACATAAACTAGCACATCGGAATTTAAAATAGTTCTAACCCAATACCATAAATAAAGACGCAACATAAAAAACAATTTTAAAGTTATTGGCGCGTTTGAAAAATTTATGACAGTAAAATTTTTAAAATGCGCGCGTACTGACAGCCAAAAATCGACACGATTAAGTTGGTACTACAAAGCAACCAACTTCGACCAATTTCACGGCATTTCATTGCAACCAATAACAACTTTTATACATTTAGCGATAACTCCCAAGTTGTTTCATTAAACCGTTATCCAATGCTTTCCATATCTTTTTCACAAAAAAAAAGAGAATGAAATTTTTATTTAATTTTCTTTTGTTACGCTAAACAAGTTTATGTTTTTGTATTTTTTTGTTTTTGTATAACTGGTGTTACGCTTTCAGCCCTTAGACTATTAAAGCTTCATCGGACGCAGAACCCGTGGGCGAGCCAGAACCTTAGCCCCTTTTCTTCATTAAAAAAACGGTGAGCTAAAGAAGTATAACTTCTTACGTGAGCAAATAAGTAGTAGCATCATTTTTTTATTCAATCAATTTTTTAAAGCATTACTACGACAACAAAACCAAAATACCACTAATCACTCTTTTTCAAACTATGAAACGAAGAATTTATAACGCAAAAAGATCCGTTATAGTCTACAAACGATGTAGGTTGATAGAACATTAGCTCGTTAACGCAGAATTAACAGATCTTTTTTATGCGTAATGTTAGATGTAATTACAGCAACAACCTATTTGTAAAGTAGAAGAGTTACACTTCTGCGTTTCGTCTGTTGAGTGAGGTCGGGGCCCACTTCATTTAAATGTGGCGACGCATTTGCATCCCTACGGATGTTGCCAATGACCATGGGCGGCGGTTATTACTTAACATCAGGTCAACCGCCAGCTCGTTTGCCACTTTTTCACATAAAAAAAAGTTTGAGAAAGTTGGAACTAATTAATTATGTATTTTTTTCATTGAAAATTATTTTTTTAAAGGTTTCTTGGGTAAGATCCTGGTGGAGAAACTTCTGAGGTGCTGCCCTGGCGTGGAGAATCTATACCTTTTGGTGAGGCAGAAACGTGGAAAGGACATCTACACGAGGATAGAGGAAATCTTCGAGGATCCAGTGAGTTATTTTCTGTTTACAATCAATTTACACCAAGACCAAAATGGTACACGGTTTATTGGTGCCGTACATAATGGAAAAAGTAATAGTTATTAATTTGACATAATATTATTCACAATAATATCGACTTATCATAGTAAACTATACGGTGGTAGTACAGTTAATTCTACGGTGGTAAGGCCCCGCAGCAGCCTCGGCTGTTGCACAAACGGGCAGACCCGTCCTGGTAAGTACCACCACCTCACAGAAGACCAGTGTAAAGTCGAAGTATGACAAATACTTTCGCGTTTCGTCTGGTGAGTGAGATAGCCAGAGCCCAATTTTCAAAAGGTTGTCAACGCATCTGTAAGCCTCGGGTGTAGCAGATGTCCATGGGCGGCGGTTTACTATCAGTTCACAATCAATTTAATGATATCAAAAGTGTACTGGGTTTATGGGTACTCGGCTTATGACGTACATAATGGAAAACCAACGGTTATTTACATATTATTGCAAAGACTATCGACGTGGCATAGTAATTACAGGACATCAATTGTCAGCTTACACACCGAGATGCATCTTACAAAAGCGTATTGTGGGTTTAGCTACCTTCCTGTTTTGTTTAAAAGTGAAGTTTTAGGTCTCAAGTAAATCTTTGTATATATATATTCTTCCGTGTGTGTGTGTATGTGACTGAATTGCTTCTAAACAGCTGGACCGATTTCTATGATATTTTTTGTGTGTTCAAGTGGATTCGAGAATGGACATTTGAGTATGAACGTTACTATCAAGCCTCGAAAAATTTAAATTATTTTTAGGGTTTCGTACCCAAAGGGTAAAACGTGACCCTATTACTAAGACTCCGCTGTCTGTCTGTCTGTCTGTCTGTCCGCCTATTACCAGGCTGTAGCTAATGAACCGTGATAGTTAGACAGTTAAATTTTCACAGAAGATGTTTTTCTGTTGCCTCTATAACAAAAAATACTAAGAAACAAAAAAAAATTGGGTTCCCAAGCAACAGACATGATTGCTTTGCCGTTTTTATAAATAATATTACGGAACCCTTTTTGCGCGAGCCTGACTCGCACTTGGCCAGCGTTTTACGAGAATTATGTGTTGATTTTTGGATGAATTCAATAATTTTTCCATATTTGCATGCAAATTTGTCACGAGCATCAGTCAATACGACGTGCAAACATATCTGAGGTTAAACGAAATGCTCATAAGCTTAACCTCAACATGTTTGCCGAGTGATGAACTTCAATTTAAGAAGCACTAAACGGTTCATATATTTGAGGTACGCAAATCCCACGCCAGGCAAAATTTCTTATTCTACATTCACCTTTTACTAGATCAATGACTATATACAATGGTTACGTAACTCTGATGTTAATTAGGCCCCTAAACAACCTTATGGATTTTTTGAAACGAATAAATTAAATTAAAAATAGGTAAACGAAGCTCATCATTTTTTTAAGTTTGATTTTTTTTTTTATTTGACTTTTTTATATTTTTTCTTCATATTGATGCTGCAAATTTCATCGCATTCACTTTTCGCTGAGTATAGTTTAATGGCTTGTTATAATAAAACCAGACGGCTGCACTACATAGTATAAAACAAAGTCGTCCCGCTGTATGTCTGTCTATGTATGCTTAGATATTTATAACTACGCAACGGATCTTGATGTGGTTTTCTTTACTAGATAGCTGTTGCTGATGTTTCAAGCGGAAGGTTTATATGTATAATACATTGCACCCGTGCGATGCCGGGGCGGGTCGCTAATAACTATAATAATTGATCCAATCTCTCAACCCGTTGTCACTCAACAACATTGTTTTAAGGTTAAGAGACGAGTTAACTTTTTGATCTTTATGTCATCGCATCCTTAAGCGTAAAGCGCTTAACACGGTCAAGGCAAGGGCTGAATGCCTGCTATAATATTTGCTGTCATTTTATTCGTTTGACTCTCATGTGTGTCAAGTTCGAGTGTGCAATACCATTATATATATTGCAACGCTATAACACTGAGTACATGTTAACGATTTCATTCTAAACTTTTTGGGTACAATTTTTGTGTGCATCATTTCAATATAAAGGTTCATGTTCACCAGAACATGAACCTTTAGGTGTAAGTTTGGCCCTACATAGTTAATATTGTTTGAAATTTTAACACTAGATTTATGACGACGACCTGAATGGCGTAGTGGGTAGCTCTGCCTCCTGCGCCAGTGTGTGGGTTCGATCCCCACTACTAGAAAAATATTGAGTGATGAACGTAGTATTTTTCTAGTGTCTGGGTGTTTATATATGTATAATATGTATTTATTTACAAAAGAAAAGTATATTTAAGTATGTTTATCAGTAATCTAGTACCCATAGTACAAACGTTGCTTAGTTTGAGACTAGAGAACTGTGTATAAAAATGTGTCCTAAAACATTTATTTATTTAAATATTTATTTATTTTTTGAAATCATTATCGCTGGTTTTTCTTTATTTATTAACTACTTCATCACTTTGAGGAAAAAGAGACATTTGACAAGCCCATTAGAGAAGGAGTTTAGATTTCTCTAGAAGATTACAACTTTGCAAGATATAATTATTAAAGTTAATAGAAACATACAGAACGCGACGGTGGTTACCCTTGTTTTTGAGATAAGTAGGGGAAGACTGGACATTTAATGACATAAGATGGAGAAAAGCATGAGCAGAATTCTGCAATGCCGCCTTTGTCGAATTGTGAGCCAATTGAGATGAAAACGATACTGGAACAAAGTCATACTTTCGTAAACCGAAAATGTACCTGGGGAGGCGATTCAGTCTGTTTAAAAGATCTTGGGACAAATCTAGGTAGCACAGATCTGTATAATTGATATTGGCTAATATCAGCGTTTGGACAAGCAAAATTTTTGTCTTGGAACGAAGGAAATTTTTTAATCGATATAAAGACCGCAAACGACTTATTTCAGTAAATTGTACTCTCCAGCCCATTATTGTCGATTAACAGATGTAAATTTTTCACTGTGGTATTATATTATATTAGTAAATGTACGAGATATCTTAGTATCATCAATCTTTGCAACATTGTCGAACCACCAACGAAGATCGCTTGGCATTTCGAGGGGTTAACCGATATTCCATGATTTGTAGACCAATTTCAAACTTTAGCCAGATTTTCGTTTACTTTTACTATTGTGCCGTCAAGGTCGTCAATATCAGCTGACGCACACAGAAATAATAAATTTCCAAGATGAGAAATAGTTACTATAAATAAACATACGTTGCAATTCTGTGACAGAAGTCTATTTACAATAGTGAAACAACTTCCGCTGTAATAAAACGTCCCAAGGATTTTCCTTTTCAAAGTTTGCACAAACAAAATATTAATATTATACTATTATTTATGTTCAGTACCTAGTTTCCGCTAATCGATGATTTCGTAACAGCGGTTTCGGGCTCTGAGTGAAATGTTGCTTTACATAGTCGTTGAAATACTACATCCTATAGAGATAAATTAGGAACAATGCTAAAATAAACAATTGCACTATATTGGCCTATTATTCGAACAAGTCAGAAATAAATATAGGTAACAACTGTATATAAAGTGACTGTCTGTGCAAATGTGCGAAAAGTCGATGGGTGCAGGTGTGTCAGGATCGTGCTTCGTGGAAGTCTGTGGCGGAGGCCCATGCTCAGAAGTGGACTCTAACTAATAGATCTAAATCTCGCATCCTTCCTTAGACTTTGCCACTGAATCTTCGTTTGGGGCCTGTAAAATTATACCAAAGAAATTTTCAAATATTATGGATCATATTTTTTTAAAATACCGCAGAGTTGTTAAGGTTTTAGATGTACATGGATACTCTCATGTGGTAAATATCTCACATGTATAAATACCACATCTAATCACTGACGTAAACGCTACCTTTGACAAACGTCTTCATCGACCCGGCCAAGTAAGGGGACATAGGTACGTTGAACCCATCGGGGGTCCCCCGTATTTGTTTACCGGGACTATACCCAAAGATTATGCTAAGAAACATAATCAAATAGTTCATCCTCGCCACACACGTACACAAGGTACACCGCCCCCAGCCATCATTTAATAGAATCAACGTTCATTGGGATCACGATTGAATGAAACTTTATTAATGCTCAGGGGTGCAAACATGCATGTTTTTGAAATAATATAATTTTGAACAAAAAAAAACCGACTTCAAACAGAAAACTAAAAAACATTGTCAACGCCTATAACATTTGAGGATTGCCCTCGATTTCTCTGGGATGCCATCATCAGATCTGGGTTTCCTTGATCATGGTACCTACCACCCTTAGGATATCTCCTTTCCAACAAAAAAAGAATCATCAAAATCGGTTCATAAATGACGAAGTTATACCCGAACACACAAAAAAAATAAAAATATATACGGTCGAATTGAGAAACCTCCTCCTTTTTGAAGTCGGAAAAAAGTATTTCGAAGATGTCAATTCCGCCAATCCGCAGTTGTTGTTTATTTGTGCCTTGTATATAATGTAAGTGGACAAACGGACAAGTGCTTGACCAGATGTTAAGTGAATACCGACTGGAATTGAAGGACTTGAATTGTACTAGTGGCGTTGCAGATGCATTGCTATCCGTTAAAACAGTGTGTCCCAGCTACCTCACTCGTAAGACGAACTGCAAAAGTATAATACTTCCACTTAACGCCGATCTCCCGACAGAAGTTGTTGCGTGGCCCTACCACAATGCGGATAAACATTATTCAACCAACTTTAATGAATGAATGAATGAAACTGAAAGTTAAAGACGATTTCCCCCGTTTCAGGTGTTCAACCGGCTAAAGGAGGATGTGCCAAAGTTCCGGCACAAAGTGGTCGTCGTGCCGGCGGACTGCGAGGCGGCGGGTCTGGGTTTGACGCTCAGCGACAGACAAATGCTGACCGAGAAGGTTTTATTTTTTTTCTTTATAATGTGGATGCCCTTAATAAGAGTGTACGGGCTGCGAGAGTCTTTAATTCTGGCAATGTGTTCACCACTTATGGCTACATCGTTATTTATGATCATACAATGATGGTCATGCACTAGCCAATTTTTATGTAATAATACTGTATTGGATAATCAATGACTAACACAGTCTGCGGAGTCAGGAGCCGTCGAAGACTTCGAATGTACGCATGATTACATGTGCGATTCTATCCAAACAGGTAGGATCATGACAATCTCGTTTTTTCACGAAACACGCATTTGTTGAATCTTTAATAATCTACGGACTGAAAGTAAAAACATCATTCTATAAAATTTATATGCAGTATAAATTATTATCATTTAATTTATATACAACTATTGTAAGTGAATATTCAAAGCAGTTTTTAGTCTAGACTAGTTAAGAATGAATAAAGCACAGAAACTAAGCCACACTTATTTTGCCATTGATGAGGATCGAACTCGGACAATGACAACACAGCGTAAGGCCGCTTGCAACGTGACCAAAATGTTTTTTACCCACCTTGCAGTTTGAAAATTTGTAGAAAAAGGAACGAAAAAGTTTTTCGCCGCTAAGGGAATCGAACCCACGTCGTCGAGATTCGCGCCCTGACACTAATTACTTATTTTTAAATGAAAACACTTGTTTTTTTTTCCTTTATATTAACAAAAAGATACCTTCATTTAAGACCATTGTGAATCTGATCATCGAGAAAATAGTCCATAATGTTTTATAACTATTATTTTTTAGAAAAAAAAAATATTAATCAACCTTGTTCTTAAACGTCACCAACACCCAATGTTGTTTCAGAGTATTATTGCACTCTTATTTTCCTCTACAGGTGAGGTGTCTTTATTCGACTTTGCTTATACTAAACAAACATCGGATAACGAGTGACTGCTTTGATTTAACTAAATATTAGCTTTTATCACTGTAACCACTCCGTGTTCATTTGCCAAGTTCAGGTTCAAGGAAATGATGCAGATTGAAAGCAAACATGCAATTGACATCGTAAATCTGAATAAATATCGTAGATTGTTTGTTTTCCTATTATGACAGTACACAGTTAAAGAAAACCCATGTATTTTTCAAATATAAATTGTTTGTTACGTGCAAATTACTCTTGAGAAGACACTTCAAAATTATTATAATCAAATAATAAAAAAGCATGGAAAATACCTATAACATATTTGAGGAAACAAAATTCTTTAATAATCTTTCGAAATTAGCTTAATGCGTATCGTAAAGCGTTATTATAGCGCTTTAAATTATTTTAAAGGCTGTTGGTTTATACCAATGATTTAATGAAGGAATAATCATTGTTTATTGCTACGATCATAATCTTTACACTTAAAGTTAAAAGATAGCAAATCTAAGTCTTAGGGTTTAATAAAATTTCACCTCTGTGTTTTTATTATGTATATAAATAACGTATGTACGGATGCCTACACTTTGCACATAGCACACTATTTTTATTGACTAACTAGATGAAAGCGATGCAGACTTCGTGGTCAGGGCGTGCGGATTCCAAAGGGCTGAGAGGTCCTAATTCCAATTAATTAATTAATGCAGTCCTATTCTTAAATAATACAATTGGAGTTGAGACTTCATTAATTAAATTTATGCTATAGTGCCAGGTCATAAAAAAAACTCTATTCCCACGGTATAATAATAAATAATAAATATTATCGGACACATTTTTTACACAACGTTCTCTAGTCCCAAACTAAGCAACGCTTGTGCTATAGGTGCTAGAAAACTGATAATCATACTTAAACATACTTTTCTTTCGTAAAAAATATAAATACAAATTATACAGACATAAACACCCAGACACGGGAAAAACACGATGTTTATCACACAATATTTTTCTGGTAGTGGGGATCGAACTCACACCCTCTGACGAAGGAGGCAGGGTCACTGCTCTTCACGCCAATCGGGTCGTCACACGTCGCACTTGTCATTTATATATGCACATCAAGTTAAAATATTTGCCGCCAATCTGTTATGGAGCTATACCCATGATAGCTCAGAGTGCGGATACTAGCTTTTAACGTAACATAATAGAACAACCCGAGTTTGAACCTCGGCGGCACCAATTGACTTATCAAGAGCTTGTATTGAAGAACTCGCGAGAGTCTGTTTATTTTCGAAGTATGTTATAACAAAAAAAAATTCTTCGAAGATAAGTGAAGTCGGCCAATCAGTGTTGGGGTCACGTGGTGGACATGCTGACTGAACAGAGGAGGGTTTGTTCAGCAATAGGACATATGTATACTGTTAGTTTACATATTTTTTTTAAACATAAACGTCAATATTTAAGTCTTTTATTAGCTTATCTACCAATCCCGTGAAAACATTGTGCAATTATGCAATTTGGGTTAATTAAACTTTATAATCAAACAACATCAACATTTAACTTGCATAATATTAAAATTACGAGTTACACATAACAATTTACTTCATCTAAAGAAAATGTTATGAAATGCCTTGTACGAAACTAGCGTCGTGATATATTATCTTGTAAATTGATATCGTATTCTGCTACTATAATATTTATATAATATAGCGTCGTCTCGTCTCTTCGTCACTGTAGGGTGCCGATTATCTCTAAACCTACTAGTATCTAAGCAAAAAATAATATTAAGAGTATCGAACAATATCGTACATATATCCATTTCAAAACATTCAGATGTCTAGGGATGAACACATAAAGCATCGATTCATGCCATAATACTCACAAATAGGTTTTTTTTTATGTGAAAAGTTGCCAGGCGAGCAGGCGGTTCACCTGATTGTTAAGTGAATACCGCCGCCCATGGACATCAGCTACACCCGAGGGTTGCAGATGCGTTTTCAACCTTTTGAAAATTGGGCTCCGGCCACCTCGCTCACCAGACGAAACGCGAAAGTATTATACTTCCACTTGACGCCGGTCTTGTGTGAGGTCGTGGTACTTACCCGGACGAGCCTGCCCATTCGTGCAACAGCCGAGGCTGCTGCGTGGCCGTACCACCGTACTTACAATATACCTATATAATATACACATTCACATAGACACATACAGGCCGCACGTCCGATATCGACCCGCATTGATGATGGTAATAATTGCAGGTCAACATAATATTCCACTCGGCGGCGACGGTAAAATTTGACGAGCACTTGAGGGCGGCGCTGGTCACCAACGTGCGGGCACCACTCCACCTGCTCCGATTAGCGAGGGACATGAAGGGATTGGACGTTAGTACTGATTAAGTGGAATCTTGTAAATTATTAATATTTTTGGACACATTTTTTACACAACGTTCTCTAGTACCAAACTAAGCAACTCTTGTACTATGGACACTGGAAAACTGATAGACATACTTAAACATTTTTCATTTTTATTTTGTAAATAAATACATATTATACATATATAAACACCCAGTCACTGAAAAAACACTATATGTCCATCACACAATATTTTTCCAGTAGTGGGGATCGAACCCACAACCTCTGACTCGAGAGGCAGATGCGCTATTTCCCACGCCAGTTGGCTCGTCATATAGGGTTATAAGATAATCCCATTAATATCTACCCCCTAACCACATAAAATTTCTCTCGCGTCAGAAGAAAAGATAGAAACCACTTCCGGATTATATCAGGATGTTGTTTCAATCGGTTCGAATTATCCGGATATAGTGCATAGTGTATTTAGATATCTTTATCATAGACTAGACTACGGTGGTAGGGCCACGCAGCAGCCTCGGCTGTTGCACGAATGGGCAGGCCCGTCCGGGTAAGTACCACGACCTCACAGAAGACCAGCGTAAAGTGACAGTATGACAAATACTTTCGCGCTTCGTCTGGTGAGTGAGGTAGCCGGAGCCCAATTTTCACAAGGTTGTAACGCATCTGTAACCCTCGGGTGTGGCAGATGTTGGGCGGCGGTATTTACTTAACATCAGGTAAACCGTCTGCTCGTTTGACAACTTTTCGCATAAAAAAAAAAAAAAAAAAAAAAAAATAATAGACATTTTTGCGAAACAAAAATATATTTATCATTTAACATAAATTTGTCATTTTCTTGATTTGAAGGTATTGATGCACATTTCGACCGCTTATTCGAACTCGCACCTGTCGCGGATAGAGGAGAAATTCTACCCGTGCGCCGCGAACTGCGAAACACTGCACAGCATGATCGACAAAATGACGGACAAAGAGATCGACAAACTGTTGCCCACGTGAGTATTCGGATACAGAGCAGTAGGGATGTCGAAGAAATGTCGAAATATCGATATCTTTTATTTTATATATATATATATGTTTTCAGCCGATATTTTCGAATCCGATAAAGTAAAGTAAAGTAACAGCCTATACATGTCCCACTGCTGGGCAAAGGCCTCCTCTATACAGAGGGTATCAGGGTATAGTCCACCACGCGGCCCCACTGCGGATTGGCGGACTTCACATATCTTCGAAACATATATATATTTTTTTGTTATTATTTCGAAAATATGCAGGTTTCCTCACGATGTTTTCCTTCACCGCGGAGCACGTGATAAGTCAGCACTTAAAGTTAAAAACTTCATTGGTGCCGGCACCTGGGATCGAACACAGGTTGCTCGAGTATATTGAATTAAAGGCGAGTGCCCGGACACTGAGTTATCACGGCTCAATCCGATATATCGATACAAAATATTCAATATCAAAATCAATTTCAAATTCCTATCCGGCACAGTCTGTATGTGTCAAGTATTTACAATATAATGTCGTAAATTTTTTTGGACAACATGGTGTCTAGAGAGTTTTAGTGACAGGGTCCCGTTTTACCCTATGGCTACGGATACGGAACTCTAAAAACAATAACACTTGGCGTTTCTGTTCCAGAATATTGGGCGATTGGCCCAACACGTACACCTTCACCAAAGCGCTGGCTGAAAAGGAGCTGCGGTTGAACTCGGGCAATGTACCACTGGGCATATTCCGACCGGCCATAGGTAAGAAATGCCATATAACGGCCTCCGGTACAGACAAATTGACAAATTTGACGATTGGCGAATGATCGATGTTTGAATCAAATTTTATTGAGGTCATTTCAATAGTAAAACAGCAACAATGCCCAAGGACAGATTCAACAAAGATCAAGCAGTCACAATCGGGTTAATGGTATCCATACAGGACAAAAAAGAAGTAAATTAATACCCTTTACATGTCCTACTATACTGGTCATAGGCCTCCTTTGTACAGTGGGTATTAGGGCATAGTCCACCACGCCACCTTTATCTTTGAAACGAGAACTTGACATGCTAACCAAAATAACATGTTTCCAGTGACATCAACAGCGAAGGAGCCGCTGAAGTGCTGGTTGGATAACATGTACGGGCCAACGGGCGTAGCGGTTGGTAGCGGTAAGCAACCTGATAAGATTTTTTTTGCTTTTTCTGGGAGCCTTTACATACAATTTAAATTTAACATAGGTATATCCAAGTAATGTTGCACCATCATACCGCAATTTGGCAACTTTTGTCCTGTTATTTATTATTTAGACTATTGTAAATTACACACGTAAAGTAATTAAAATAAATAATATAAAAGTTATCCTGTAACCTGAGGTTGCACAGGAGAAATTGCTATTGCTATTACTAGCAATGTCTTATTGCTAACATTGCTAGAAATAAGGCTTCCTTTATTGTATTTTTTTTATTTTTCTTTCATATATTCCCTAGTGTGCAATAAAGTATATTCTATTTTGTTGCTTTATTAACCTTTAATTTTTAAAATTTTCTCCTGATACAACAAACAAGACCGAAAGTACATGATTGAGGACATCTAGTTCTAGTTCCTTCGGGCATTCCTTTTTACGACCTAACACATTTAACAGTTAAAGAATATTTAAATTACAACAAACTATTACATTGGTGCCGGTATGGAGGTTTAGAATAGAATTGCTCCGAGAGTTTATGATTTATTTTATTTTATTGTTAAACTTTACACTCGTGAAGTAACTTGCATTTGTGCTTCGAATCCCGTAGCGCCAAAAGTTTTCGTTTTCATTTATGTACAAAAATTCCCATTTTAAGTTACTTAGGGCAGGCATTTTTCGTCTGAGATTGAACGCAGCATAAATTGAGTAGAGTTTAGCCACCGAATTCAATTACAGCCAAAGTTGCTCATTGAATTTGCCTTTTATCAAATTTGGTGGCGTCCGTGAACGCGTTTATGTAATAAGGACTAAATTATTACAGCGACAGGCATCCTACGGACGCTCGAGTGCAACGAACATGTAACGGCAGACCTGGTGCCCGTGGATTGCGTGGTGAACTGTCTGATGGTGGCCGCGTCCAGCGTGCACCGCGCGTATACCAGCAGGTGGGGGAGTACCCCTTTTTTGTGAGAGGATGGCAAGCGTGATGTGTTGACAACCTTTTGGACATTGAGCTCCGGCTACCTCACCCACCAGACGAAACGCGAAATTATTATACTTCCACTTCACGCCGGTCTTCTGTATAGGAGAACTAGCGACCCGTCCCGGCTTCGCGCTTGTGCAATGTATTATACATATGAACCTTCCTCTTGAATCACTCTATCTAGTAAAAGATCCAAGCATGTGTAGGGACAGACAGACAGCGGGACGATATTCTTTTATACTTTGTAATGATGGATAACGTTTTCACCGCTGCAATCGTGCCCGGACGCTGTCTGATGACTGCTGTACTACAGACTGACTGCTACAGCATATGCATGACATTTCCTTGGCGCACAACTCATGCGTCCACTTTATCTTGTAAATCCCGATGAAAAGTTAAATGATTACTAATTAATATTAAACAATATTGAACCTTTAATTTAAAGACGAGCGCCCGGTCAATGAGCTATCACGGCAGAGGGTTTCAGGGCATAGTTTCCCTCTGGGTAGAGGAGGCCTTTGCCCAGCAGTGGGACATGTATTATAGGCTGTTACTATACTTTTAAATACTACTACATAATATTAAATAACATTAAATGACATTACTAAACAGTTCACCGCCAGCCGAGCCGCCGATATTCAACTACGTGAGCTCCGTGGAGAACCCGATAACTTGGGGCGACTTCATGAAGCTCAACATGGCGAGGATCGACAGGCACCCGTTCTCCAACGCCGTCTGGTGAGTTACAGATCCGCGAACGATCTAGCAACGGCCAACGGTGTTTTAATGAAGGCGTGGACGCGGCGTATTGTAACATTCCTATGTTGTAAGGACCTTTTGGATACATGAATTTGAAGTGGGGAAAACACCCAGGTCCGATTCAATTGTCTCTGGTTCATACAAATAGTTATTCCGTGTGGGAATCGTATCTACCGGCGCCGAAGCCAATAACTTGCCACTGCACCACGGAATCATCAGACACTTCGTATATTTGTAATGTTATATGTAATCACATATCTTGTTACTTTTACATACAGTACATCTTCTTTCTCCTGCCCTTATCCCACGCTAGGTGGGGTCGGCACAGCATGTCCATCGTTTATTTTCTGAACCGTGTTGTTATTTCAGTTATTTTTATGCCCGGCCGCCGATGACGTCGACCTTGGGAATTCTAGCGAATTTATATTTGTCTAATCTAATTTTTTTTACTAGAATATTCGCACACACTTAAATCATTTCGAAAAGGAGACTTTGGTTATTAATTTTGTATATAACTCGTGACTGCCAGGTACATATCGTTGACGTTGACGAAGTCGGCAATATTGAATCGGATCTACATAATACTGCTGCACCTGGTACCGGCCGCGCTTGTGGACGGACTCGCGGTCTGCGTCGGCAGGAAGCCTAAGTGAGTAGAAGTCACACCAGTCTCCCTTCGTCGAGACCAGAGATGGGGGGAAGTAAAAGTTAACCGTGGTAGGGCTACGCAACATTTTTCACTGTTGCACGAATGGGCAGGTCCTCCCGGGGAGTCCCACGATCTCACGTATGACCGGCGTGAATTGGAAGTGTTATACTTCTGCGTTACCTCTGGTGAATGAGGTAGCCGGAGCCCACTTTATTAAAAGTCAGCCACCCTAATGCTGCAAATGTCCATGGGTGGCGGTTATCACTTAACATCAGGTGATCTACTGCCTGAAAAAAATGGTAACAAGAAAACTAGCTAACAATATATGTCCCATTACTGGGCAAAGGCCTCCTCTATATTATAACAATATGCTGAATATTGATTAACGCAACGTTAAGCGGCAATTGATACTATGGGTGAGGACGCAAACTATTATGACGAACATTAAAAAAATAATAATGATCTGTGATAATAACGTTAGTTCTGTAAACTGGGATCAGCTCAAGACTATCCTTAACCTAAGTCCTGCAACTTCTTCGCTCTCGCCCCTATCCGATACCCGTCCGTGTCTACTAAACCGTATTAAACTCCCTTTGAGCAGAATGCTGAAGGTGTACAGCAAGATACACAAGTTTTCCTCGGTGTTAAGCTACTTCTGCACGCGGGAGATCAAGTTCTGCAACAGGCGGACGCAGCAGCTGTGGCAGCGTATCTCAGACGCCGATAAGCAGGTGAGCGAGATGCGGAATATACTATAAACATTTACCTTTCAGCAGAGTCAGCAAAATTGCTGCTTTTCCAAGTAATGCCAATGCTATGTGGACAGTAGTTGCTCTGACCACTAACTGTGGTAGGCCATGCTACGGTGTTTGCTGTTGCACGAATTGGCAGGTCCGTTCGGGTAGGTACCACGACCTCACAGAAGACCTCCGCCGCCCACGGCCGGACATTTGCAACACCCGTACGCTTGTAGATGCGTTGCTACCTTTCAATAAAGTGGGCCCCGGCTACCTCACTCACCAGACGAAACACGAAGTGACAATACTGCCACTCCACGCCGTTCTTGTATGAGGCCGCGGTACCTCCCCGGACGAGCCTGCCCATTCGTGCAACAGCCGAAGCTGCTTTGCTACTTCTCGCTGGCAATTTTTTCACATAAATAAAACTTCTTACACATACTTCTATCAATAATTATTCAATAAGTATGTACTTATTAACAAACTAGCTGCTGCCCGCGACTACGTCTGCGTAGAATAGGCTGAAGGTGTAACATTCAGACAAAAAGACAGATATACATAAAAATATGTATACAAATTATGGCTTATGTGTTATTCTGATGTATAAGCTATATTACGGTAAAGTTTCATTAAAATCCATTCAGTAGTATTTGCGTGAAAGAGTAACAAACATCCATCCATATATACAAACGTTCGCGTTTATACTATTAGTAAGGATTGTTACGCATGTAACGAGTGTCATATTACCTTTTGCCTGCAGTTGTTTCCGTTCAGTATGCGCGAAATAGACTGGGAAGACTATTTCGACGACTACTTGGCCGGGATTAGGCGATACCTGTTCAAGGAGAGCGACGAAACCCTTCCCAGGGCGAGGATCAAGTGGAAAAGGTATTTATATTCTATTTATTAAATTAAACTAGTTTACGGATTTTATATATTTACTTATTTTATTTTTTATTTTGTAAATCCCGACGTTCCGAACCCTTTCCAGTGTTCCTGGTAACAGGAAAGTGTTCCAAACCTCGAGAATTAAAATATCAAAATAAAATAGCTTCATTTAATATGTATAACATTCGCGTAAAATCAAGATGTCTATATAGTCAATATATACTTTTAGGATGTTCAAATTTAATGTTCAATATTTTATAATTCAGCCCAATGGAAGTTTCGCTACCTACGTAAAAAGTAATAGCCTATACATGTCCCACTGCTGGGCAAAGGCCTCCTCTATACAGAGGGTATCAGGGCATAGTCCACCACGCGGCCCCACTGCGGATTGGCGGACTTCACATATTTTCGAAATATATTTTTTTTTGTTATTATTTCGAAAATATGCAGGTTTCCTCACGATGTTTTCCTTCACCGCGGAGCACGTGATAAGACAGCACTTAAAGTTAAAAACTTCATTGGTGCTGGCACCGGGGATCAAACTCAGATTGCTCGAGTATATAGAATTAAAAGCGAGCGCCCGGACACTGTGCTATCACGGCTCATAGCTACGTAACGTTATGTCATATTATAATTTATTATACAGTTATCCGTGCCCTTGTCATTATCGTAATTTAAATACATTTTTGTGCAAGTTATTAATATTATACTTTAAAAACACATATCTACGTCTATCTCTCAACATGATTTTGTTTATTTCCACATCCATATAATTAAAGTGCAAGCACCATGTATAATAGTTTTTTTTTCTGTTACAGATTATACTATCTTCATCAGTTAGTACGAATCCTTTTCTTCGCCTTCGCGCTGTATGCAGTGTGGTCTTTATTTGCACGTATATGGTGATTTTTGCGAATGTAATTTGTAAATGTTTCCATATAGATTGTGAAAAATGTAAATTTTAAATACGTTTTTGGTAGTTGGCGGGATATTGTAAATAAATGCGACGACCACAGATAATTAAGATTTATTTTTAATTGGGCATTGTCCTAGGGCAGTTTCTTGACACTGAGGTTGACGGCAAATAACCCAAACTGAAGAATGTATTGTACGGTACCTTAGCTACTTCATTTTTATTATTGTATAGTTTCATATTGTTATAGGATATTCAAATATAATCGTTTTAAATAATTACAAATAAGTACAATTTACGATTGTTTTATGTTATTACAATCAATATAGTTTTTTCAATGGAATTCCATATTGTTTTTATTATTTTTTATGTATTAACGGGAATGTTACCAAAATTAATGTATATAGTGCGCACGCAACATAGGGGCAATATTTTATTGTAAAATGCTGTAGAAAGATTGAGTGCACAGAGATTTTACTGGATAATAAAGTATATTGTCTAAATTATATTGTATTTGATTTTTCTTTATTAGGTCTACAAATTTTTTTACTGTAAACTACCGCAAAACGTTAGCTACTATCTGAATAGATGAATAAAAGAGCAACGAATTAAGTCTTTCGTAAAATAGTGAAAGTACACCTTAATTACTCTGGTAATTTAGGTGTACTTTCCGTGTACACTTCTGAGTCATAATAAAAATCATTCACTTTACACTATGGGCATCACTCCATCGACATTGACACCATATTGTGTTGCTGAGGGAACGTCTCTAGCGGATTGGTACATAAATAGTAAATGCGATTGAAACGAAATAACTAATGAAACATTTTATTTCATATCTTCATCTGTCAGTTTAATTTTGTCCGCCTTCTTGATGATTTCGTCGATCTTGTGCAAGTCCTTGAGGGAGATCTCGCCGCTGCCGCGCGGCAGTGGCTTCGGCTGCGATGGGTCCGGTTTCCAGCCTAGGAAGTTGATGATCTGAAACGTTGCCGGCACCCCACGTGACTCCTTCTCCGAAAAGTCCTGTGGAAAATTTCCCACAGACCTAAACTTACATCGTTTGTTTTAGTAGCGTAAGGCTTACTTGTAAAGAAACGTTTGCACAGTTATAGGCTGTACTTAATACGGAAATAGTGTAAATGTGTACTTCGAAGTCGACTTATTCCACTTTAAGAAATCGATCTATATTTTTATCCAATTTAAGTCCGTAAAATGTTCTAAGGACGTCATAGCTTAATGTAATATAACGGGTGGCGTCCATTGTATCGATATATTGTTGTGATTTGTCAAGTGGAAGAGATCTGCGGATGGCACTAGGAGAACAGCTCAAAATACTAATACTAAATAGAATGGTAACTATGACAACTTAATGACGGTTATGATTATAATATTGGCAATTAAAATGAAGGTAATGACGATGGAACTGATTGCGATAACGACAATGAAGATGATGATGATATTTACAGTGAACGCAATGAAGATGATCACAAAGGTGACAATATTGAGGATTATGACTGCGATCATCAAGATGAAAGTGCAATGGCCGTTGTACTTCAACGGCCATCATCAAGATGAAAAAAATGACAAAAAATACGACAATGGTGACAACGAAGTGAAAACGGTGACGTCAATGATAATGATGTTGATGTTAACGGTGACGGTGAGGGGGTCTAAACGGTGACGGATAGGCGACGGTGACCCATAGGGCGATATTTTTTTATAAATAGCGATGTATTGCTTCACTACGAATGGGACGACCCGAATGGCGTTGTGGGTAGTGTACTTGCCTCCCGCGCTAGAGGGTGTGGATTAGATCCCCTCTACTGGAAAAATATTGTGTGATGAACATAGTTTTTCTAGTGTCTGGGCGTCTATATATATCTGTATAATATGTATTTATTTACAAAAGAAAAGTATTTTTATCAGATATCTAGTGTCCATATTACAAACGTTGCTTAGTTTGGGGCTGGAAAACGCTGTGTAAAAATGTATCCTAAATATTTATTCACTTTCGACATCCTAACAACGGCGGCGTCGACGAACCCACCATTTTTTTTGGTATCGGGTGAGAAATCTTCAAAAGATACCCCGTCACCTTACATGACAGGGTTACGTGGGGTTCTAACCCACTAAAATCCCCTCGGTGGCCACTTTCTGTACGTTTGGAGGGACTCCGGGATCTCCCACGGAACGCACCGGTGTCCCTCGGTACTACGCGTGAGGGATACACCTTCCCAGATTCCCTCGCCATCTTACGGCAGCTCGGGAGCACTTCGAGCTGCTGCCAATCCGTACCTATCCCCTTTTGGTCGCCTCTCACGACATGCAGGGGCTACCTTGGCCCTACTCCATAAGCGAGAGACTGCAGGGCCGACGACAACTCACCTTGCCGTACATCTCGTCGTAGATCGCGGCCGCGCGAACTGCAGCCGCCGGTCGAGCAGCGGCGGCCGGTTGAGCGCCGCGTTCGACTCGCCCATTGCGCGCACGTCCCTCATCACGTGCCACGCGCTCGGGTACCACACCGTCAGCGACTCCACGTCCACCGTCTGCAGCGTGAATCCCGCCCTGTGTGCCCGCACCCTTATCTAGTTATCTTTATATACAGCATGCCCGCCGTGTGCACGCGCCCTTATCATCACTACATAGTATAAAACAAAGTCGTCCCGCTGTCTGTCTCTCCCTACATATGCTTAGATCATGCGATAAATCCGTAAAAATTAGTTTCATTTATAATGTGGAGAAACACAAATAATTTTAAAGGTTTCTAATGCGATGTCGAAAACAAACATTCGGCATTGCACCCGTGCGAAGCTGGGGCGGGTCGCTAGATATATAATTCTTCTGTGCGTGTGTACGTCACTGAAGACCACCTAAACGGCTGGACCTATTTTAATGAAATTTTTGTGTGTCAAAATGTGTGAAGTTTTTCGTTCAGCTCGACAAATAAAAGTCGACACTTTTATATCTGATAATGATGCCTATGCTTTGCCCTTCAGTTTCGCAGTCAATCCTCGAGCTTAAATAATCACAAGTTCCAACGTCTCTACTTCATTTGTGAGAGATAGCTAAAGTAGCATGGTTGGTGGTAAAAAAGGGGTAGTTCAATCACTCACGCATTTAGCAGACCACCGACGTCTCGTATCCGAGTGAATGGCGATATGTGGGGAGCCATTCCACCCTTCCTCTCCGTCTCCGCCAGTTGCAACGCTTGTCGGAGTTCCATAAGGGTGTCACCACCAAACACGCATGCAATGAATACCTGACACAAAAAATTGTCAGACTTCAGTATCACGCTTTCAAATAATTAAAAACTTACAACCAACCCTCTTAATCAAAACTTCTTTTACAAATAGAAACTCAAATGTGACAAAGGGAAACCAAATCCTTTGTGAATTCTATTTACTTTAGTGTGAGAAAGTGACAAGCTAGCTGACGGTTCACCTGATGTTAAGTGATACCCCCGGCCTATGGACATTTGCAACAACCCTAGGTTTGCAGTATTGCAGCATCGCATTAACTCAAATGCACAAAGCTACATTTAAATTTTGACTAATCTACATGTAAATTTTGTGTAAATTTTCATTATAATACTTAGTTATTTGATAGTGAGATCTTTACCAAACAGGGGGATTGTGTCATGATAATTTAAGTAAAAGAATTTGGTTATTTACACGACCAATTCTCATTTTCATATAATAAAAATTAATGCCATATTCAAAAAACTATTAATAAATCAAAATATATACACTCACTCCATCTGGCTTCAGGCTATGCATGACACGATCAAAACATCCAGGCAAGTCATTCACCCAATGAAGTGCTAGAGAGGAGACCAGCAAATCCACACTATTTTCTGGGAACTGATTTTTTATCAACACTTTATTATATATCTTGCATTAACAGAAAATATAACTTAATAAATAAAAGCAGATTTAATATTTAGTTATATATATATTATATATATATCAAATCATAATATAGTTAAATCAAAATATAGTTATATATATATCAAATCAGAGAATGCTGAGAGTTCAAAATAAACAAATTTATTTGGTAATTTTTAACAAGAGCTTTGCTTAGTCTTTTTTATTTTGTAGCGTATAGATTATCAGTTAATGACCCCCATCAGGTCACTTTATTCAATTTATAGCTTTGTTATAAAGGTTCCAAATAGTTAACAGAGAATTTCATTTAAATCGCCAATACATTGCTAGAGAGCATATCTTTTTAACTTTGGTTTTTATAGTACAAAAAAATTATTCATCACTGAAACCTACCTACTTACTTCAAAATTCTCTTCATCCATAACAACTTTATCGAATTGTACACCGTCACCGACTACAGCCTTATCTAGGTTTGTCTGTGATGTATCACATAGTGTAATCTTTTCAACACTATCAGGAAGAAAATGACGGGACACATAGCCTCTACCAGCACCTTACAACAAATAAATCAGGTGAAAAAAAATTCATACCAATAGTCTTAGTTATCATTGCGAACTCCACCTAAACTAGGCGGAAATGCCCACTGGCTCCTTTATGCTATAGATATTCAGGTATAATTATAGCACCTGTTCAAATTGGAAACATACTAAATCAAAAAAGTAAATAAAATATTAATATAAAAATAAAGGCAAAAAAGCTGAATTTAAATTCCGAATATCCTTAATTGTATTAGACATTTACTATAGTAAACTTTGCGATTATTGCACTTGTCGTATACATCCAAGAATTACTGCATTAAATACATTTATAATAATTTACCTAATTCAACTGCATTTTTAAAGTTTCTTTTTATATCGAAAACTCTATCAGCAGTTCTCCAGCCAATCTCTTCTTTTATATATTCAGCCAGTTGATAGTCTTCGCTTCGAGCTGCACGTTCCTTTTGCAATATTTTTGCTTTTCTATCAAAAATATTCATACTTCTATATACCGAACTGGCTGTTTTAGTTTTTGTAGCTTTGGTGCTTTGATATCGAAAACAATCATATTTTATAACGTTATGTAAATATTTATTTAAATGTATCAATTTAGTTGTGAATACATTTCCGATATAACATTTAATAACCGTCGTTTGAACCATTTCATTGATTATGATATGATATGTATACCAAAAAAAGTAATGTAATTAACAATTACTAAGCCTACGTTCTATTCTTTTATTTTTCTAATTTACTAATTTACTCCAATAGAAATAACAAGTGACAAATGATGAAGTGACAGTGGAGTCGGACACTGTGACAACGTCACTTAAAATTAATGACAGAAGCAGCAGAGCAGCTAGGCATCTGTATAATTATTATGGGTATGTTCCGATATGCACTGCAAGCACTCCACAGATCTATCATATCGTTCCGTTATGGACTGCCAGTATACTGCCACAGTACCCTAGGGAAATATATATCGTAATAAATCGTAGCCATATTCTACTGCGAGCACTGGATTTTTCGAGGTAAAGTACTCACAGTACTTTGATCACGTTTTCAATTAAAACCACTCGAGTACCTAACGTTTTATAAACAATACCTACAGTTTAATCCCAAAGTTATAAAGTTCTGTAATTAGTTAGGATTAATAAATAAAACAATGGAAGAATTGCAAAAATTATCCTTATTAGACTGTGTATTAATTAACATGTATGTATTAATATTTATTATTATGTATGTGTAATTAGATATGTTAATATGTATTTTTATGTATGTATTGATTAATAAAGTAATGGATGAATTAATGAACTAGAAGACTTCAATACACTCATTTGAATGCTGCGTCAAAAATGCGGCTGACAGTATACGGGATAGCGTTCCATTTTAATAAATATTAACCAGTCTAACTATAAAGGAACGGCTTCACAGTATACTAAATTGACGTCACAGTGTACGGTGGTCGCAGTGCTTCGCGGAACATACCATACCTTATACCATGTTTTTTTTTTTCATAAGTTCGTTTATGGTAAATTGAATTAAATTTAAAATTTCGCACAGATATCATATGAGAAAACGCAATAATGCACTCCTTCTGGTGACAAGTCTTAATATTGAAAGAACTTTGTTGGACAAATAATATCTTTTTTGATTTCTGTGCTTGTTGCTAGTAAGTCATGACATTTTATGGTTTGTATTTTGGTTGGATTCTTAATCGCTGCAAACGCTCTGCCTGCCAATGATTTCCAAGGTTTCCATGTTATGATGAGCCTTACATGGGCTATTCCATGTTTGGTTGGAATAATGAGTACCTAACATAAAACAGTAGCTTATTGAAATAACATGATATTATCCTATAGCAAGAGTATACGGAAATGTAAAATCTACCGTATGCCGTATTATCTGAAGTTACGTGTTCAAATTACCGTATGTTATGGAAATTACCATATCAATTGTTGAGTTTGTTGTTAGTTCGGCCGCCGGCGGGTTTGATTGCCAGCTTCGGCGGTGGAGGTTCGAGAGCAGATGACCTACCCGGGAGAACATCCTTACCTTGGATAGTGAGTATGCTTTTTTAATATATTTCCATTTATTATCAGACTATTTTTTTTATTTTCTGCTATCAATTGTCACAGACTTTAGCTAGAGAGCGTAATTAATAACGAAACTTTTAATTTTCGAATATTAATGGTTTTGGTAAATTGGTTATTTTCATAAAGTACGAGTTTCATTAATAATTTAATTCATATCTTTTGACGTAATTATCCCCTATGATTAAAATGCTATTTCGGTCTTGTTATTTTCTTTGGATAGGTTCCACTATCAATTGCCCTTGGATCGTGTCGTGCTCTCCCTTGTTAGTCAAAGTATTAATCGGTCGTGAACATTATCTTCGTACACAATCTATGTTGTTTCCTGAATCTGCGGATCATTTGACTGCGCACCTCTCCGACAAATCCATCATAGCCGAGCTCAGGAAACTAAACAAAAATAACAACAAAAAGTTTTTAGTAGACAATAATAATTTCATATCATGTTATTTAAACTTTGATAATGGCAACATCCATAAAATGTCATATCAACAAATCAACAAAAAGATAACTTGACAATTGACATTACGTAAAAAAAATTCGAAACAGAAAATATTTTGTTTTAATATAGGTTACTTTCAACATTATTTTGGTGTAGAGTTATTAAGGGGATTCGAATTGACGTCTTCTTGCACCTCATTCGCTCTCATTTTAATTTAATTGTTTTTATTGTATTACATCTTAATTTTCATGGTGTATTAGTGATTATCGTAGAAAATTGAGTAGATTTTTGTTATTAATAACATAAAGTATAAATTTTACGAAAATAATTAAAATTTTTAAATGTAGATTTGTGACGCCAATTTGACATCTCATTTTTTCATAATTTTAGTGTAGCTGGAATTCTGCGTTACCAATTGTAAGTATTTAAAACATTTAATTTGTTCTAATATCTATATAATGGATTCTGAACCGCCTGACCCTGGAGGTGGCAACAATATTGTTTCTTCGGATACATCGGATCCTTCAACAAAATTAATATCATTGTCAAGAAAACGTACCCAGGAGGATTCGTCTTATGTACAGTCCTCTAAAAAGATCATTACTGACCCATCCCAATCCACTCCATCTATCCAATTGTCTTATGTCCATCCTGATTTCATTTCAACAAAGACAAAAATACTCTGATGAGGACCCTGGTCCTTTCATTGTTCTCATCAATAAAACTGTTAATGACCATTCTGCTGGCACCTCATTGAAACCCATACAGTTTGGCCAATTTCTATTTCGTAACAAAATTCAAAACATTCTTAATAATGGTGTTAAAAAAGTCGGAAGAAACAGAATTTCTGTTCAATTCAAATCAGCCAGAGATGCTAATACTTTTTGTGAACATCCTTCTCTCTCCCTAGCTAACTATGAAACTATAATCCCTTCATACAATATTACTCGGATGGGTATTATAAGAGAGATTCCAGTGGATTGGAGTATGGAAGATCTAGTGAATGCTTTAGAGGTTCCCTCTGATTTTGGCACTGTTATTAAGGCTCGTAGATTGAATAGAAGGATTACTATAGATAATAAAAATTCTTGGGTCCCTTCACAAACTGTGGTTCTTACATTTAGAGGACAAAAACTGCCCTCACATGTATATTGCTTCTATAATTCTATTCCTGTTGAAACATATATTTTACCATCTATCCAATGCTACAAGTGCTGTAGATTTGGCCATGTCACGTCACAGTGTAGATCCAACCCCCGATGCTTCAAATGTGCGCAAAATCACGAAGGTGTTACATGTTCCAAAGAAAACCTTTCATGCCTTTTTTGTCTTGGTCCTCATTCCGCTAAAAATACTTCCTGTCCTGAACATCTTAGGCAGAAATCGATAAAAATGGTTATGTCGCAAGATAACATCTCTTATTTAGAAGCTTCGGCTAGATTCCCTCAAGTGAGGAGATCTTTTGCTGATGCTGCCAGACTAACTTCATCTGTCATTATAGAAAAGGAACCCACATCTTCAAATAATATCCAGAGTTCTTATAAAAAAACAGTTTCCATTCCCCGACGTCCTCTTTCCCAACCCAATAAATTTGGATTTGACAAACATGCCCATAATTCTATTATAGGAACTCCTTCGTCAGTTCTTCCTGATGGGTGTGCTCTTAGAGAAAAAAAAGATATTTCTTCAAATGACAATCTTTTGGACTTACTTTTATCTACACTTATAAATATAATCTCCCGTTATAATGATACTGAGCTTCCAATTAATTTAAAATCTAAACTTACTGAGCTTCTCTCCTTATCGGTTAACATTCCCAACCCTCCTTCAATGGAACTGTAGGAGTATTAAGCATAAAAAAAATGAACTTTTGTTTTTAATCCACCAGTACAATCCAGCCATTTTTGCTGTCCAGGAGATGTGGCTACAACCTGGGGCACATTTTAGAGTCCCAGGATACTCATGTCTCCGTGAAGACAGAATTGATGGTCATAGAGGCGCTGCAATTTTAGTCTCCAGAAAATTTACATTTAGTCAAATTCTTCTTCCACCACATAACGAATCTATTAATATTGTTGCAATTAGAGCATTTAATTCTACTATTATATCTATATACATTCCTGTTCCAAGTTTGTCAATACTCACTGAGCTTTACTCTATTATTTCTTCTCTTTCTCCTCCGCTTGTTATTCTTGGAGACTTTAATATTCACCATACATCATGGGGTTCTCACTTTTGTGATTATTTATCTTCTTCATTCTTAGACATATTAGACAATTGCAATCTTTGTGTGTTGAATGTTCTCCAACACGCCGTGTTTCACCATCTCAAAATCTAAAAAGTGCTGTGGACCTGTCATTGTGTTCTTCAGAACTTGCCTCAATTCTCTGTTGGAGTATTTTGGCTTCTACTCATGGTAGTGATCACTATCCTATTCTTATTTCAGACCCTATACTTAATTCCTTGGATTCTATTCCTAATTATTGTCCCAGACTAAAATATAATCTTGGTAAAGGTGACTGGTCTAAATATGCTTCTTTTACTGATGAATTCATAAATTCTGTTCAACCATTGAGTCCTGAGAGTTTTTTATCTTCTTATTCTGATTTTAAAAATATGCTCATATCTTCAGCAGATAAAGCATTCCCCCTTAAAAAACAATATAAAACTCCAATTCAATCCCCTCCTTGGTGGGATCAAGAATGTTACAATGCCTGCAGAAAAAGAAAGGAAGCTGAAAGAATTTATGCTAAATCCATGACTCTTCAAAACTTTATGGCATATCGAAATGAAGCAGCAAAAACTGTTAAAGTTTTATCATCCAAAAAGAGGGCAGGTTGGCACAAGTTCTGTGAATCTCTGTCCCCTGCCACACCCTCTTCTCTAGTCTGGAGAAATATTAAAAGATTCCGTTGTGGTGTATCGCATAATTTCAATATATCCTCAAATAATACTGCACCGTGGATTGAATTATTTGCTCAAAATTTAGCCCCTCCTATTGCTCCATCTTTTCAGGAATCAATGATTTATTATAATTCCCCTTTAACATCTGCAGAATTTTTTGACAGACCTTTTTCTCTAGAAGAACTTTCAATTGTTTTAGGATCCCTTAAAGATTCTTCGCCTGGAATTGATGGTATTCCTTATTCTTTTATATCTAAAAGTGGACCAAACACTAAAATATTTTTTCTTAATCTTTTAAACCACATCCTGTCTTCCGGTGTTCCCCCAGATGAATGGAAAAAAGCAAATTATCATTCCAGTTCTCAAACCTGGGAAACCCAATAATGATCCACATAGTTATAGGCCAATTGCTCTATCCTGCACTATGGCTAAAATTCTTGAGCACTTAATAAAGAATCGTCTAGAATGGATTATAGAAAGCAAAAAAATACTACCTAAAAGTCAATTTGGTTTTAGAAAAGGTATTGGTACTATTGATAGTTTAAGCACTTTGATTACTGATATCCGTATAGCCTTTTCAAAAAGAGAATATCTTGTAGGGGTGTTTCTTGATGTTTCATCTGCCTACGACAATGTTCTTCTTCCTTTACTTAGACATAAATTGCTCAACCTAGGAATTCCTTTGAAATTAGTAAACTTTATTTTTAATCTCCTCTCGGGTAGATGTATCCTTTTAAATAGCCAAAATACTTTTCTTCCTCCTCGATCTGTCTGGAAGGGTCTTCCCCAAGGGTCTGTTCTAAGTCCCTTGCTGTATAATATATACACATATGATCTTGCCCTTTCAGTAAACTGCTTCTGTAATATCCTACAATATGCTGATGATTTGGCTCTCTATGTCTCTGTAGATGATATTTCCATTGCTCAGTCTCGACTCAATACCTCACTCTACTATCTCCAAAATTGGCTGAATGATAACGGGTTATCTATATCAATTCCCAAAAGTACTATTGTTATTTATTCTCAACATAGAATTATTCCTTCGGTTAATATAACTCTTGATAATCAAAGAATCCCAGTGAAAAGTGAAGCAAAATTTTTGGGTTTGATACTTGATTCTAAATTGTCTGGAATTAGTCATTTACAATATGTCACCAAAAAATGTGAAAAGAATATTAATATCCTTAGATCTCTCTCAGGAGTTTGGTGGGGTTCCCATCCATATTCCCAAAAATTAGTATACAATGCTCTCGTTAGAAGTCATATGGATTATGCCTCCTTTCTCTTAGAACCTTGTAATAAAGCAGCTCTCAATTCATTAGATAAAATCCAAACAAAATGTCTCAGAATAATTGTTGGAGCTATGAAGTCATCCCCTAGGAATGCTCTCCAAGTGGAATGTGTGGATTCACCCCTGCATTTAAGAAGGCAATATTTGTCAGACAGGTTCATGTACAAGGCATTGCAAAATTATAATCACCCTCTCATTGCCAAACTCCATTTACTTTCTGAATATATATCAACAGGAGGCTATTGGTCTAAAAAAAATTCTCCTTGTCTATTTAATAGTTTTCTCAATTTTCTGCAATTACCCTGTCCTATATACCAATGCAAAATGAATCCTTTATATGATACCCCTTATGAAGCGCTGGTATATCAACCTAGTGTTTTACTTGATATTGGAATTGAGAAAAATTCTAGATTGGCTCCATTACAGTTGAAACTAGCTCTTGATAAGTTTTGGAAAGATTGGCATATAATGTACACAGATGCTTCCAAAATGTCTCAGTTGGGGTGTGTTGGAGCTGCAGTATGGTTTCCCAAGTATAAAATAATACTTAATTTTAAATGCCCACCCTATAGCTCAGTTTTTACTGGTGAGGCTACAGCTATACTTGAGGCTATCCTATTTGCAGAATCTCATGACTTAAATAAAACTATCATTTTCACAGATTCTAAAAGCTGTTTGCAAGCCATTTTAGCTAATCTCTTCCGTTACAAACTTAATTTCCCCTTAATTTACAAGATTAGAGCCGCTCTTTACAGGTGTCATATGAAAGGAATATTGATTTCTCTAGCTTGGATTCCTGGGCACAGTGATATTCAAGGAAATGAAATTGCTGACCATTGTGCCAAGGAAGCAATTAAAACTGGCTCCCTATCCCAATATACTTGTTTCTCTCATGATTTATTATCATATGCTAAAATCAGATCAAACTGTGTTTGGTATGAGCTCTGGAAGAAATCTAGTAGAGAGAGAGGGAAACACTATGCATCAATCCAACCTGATATTCCAACCAAACCATGGTTCTTTAATTTTCCTAAAGCCAATAAGCATGCCACCTCTATTGTCTGCAGACTTAGACTAGGGCATGTCTGCACTAATGTTCATCTTGCCAAATTAAGAATAAAAGATAGTTCCATCTGTGAATGTGGCCTAGATGATGATTCACCTGATCATATATTTTTCAACTGTCCCAGAATTCCAGGTTCCTTCCATGATCATCTTCCTTCTAGCATCCCTCGTCCATCTAATATCAATAACCTTTTAACATATGTTAATTCTTCATTTGTTTATATCTTGTGTAATTTTATTAATAGTTGTAATATTAAGTTGTGAACTTAGCATAATAATTACAATCTTATTTTCTTTGTTCTAGGTAATTGCTATAATTATGTAAATTTGTTTAGATATTCTATATATAAAAATATACATATTTAACATTCATAAAATCATTCTCTTCATCATTTCATTATAAAAGTTAGGCAAAAATAAACAACCAGAAGTGTTCATTGGCGTATTCATTGAAAACCGCCAAAAAAGAAAAGAAGAAGAAGAACATTATTTTGCTTATTCCTATGAATAGTTGAAACTTAGTATACATTTTTTTTAATATTAAAATACAACGGTAAGTGTTTAACGAAAGAATACATAAAATATTGTTCTTCCTAATTTGATTCATGTTAAGTTTCTTCTTAATTTACTTTATAAAAAATTTAAATTATGAGTCTTTCTCTCTATAATCCGGTATCGTTGTGTATTATGCTCTTTCATAATCTCAATACCGAGGTATGGTGTTTTACTGACATGTATATTTCAGATGTGGCCTATACTAATGCAATTCTTACGTAGCAATGCTCCTTACATTACTCTTCCCATTGCTGCTGTAGTAGGCGTCATTGGCTACAATTTAGAAAGTTTATTATCAGACAGATATACTCCATACAATAGTAAGTATTCAACATTTTCAGTGACCATAAACAGGATTTATGTTATTTTTGTAAAATAAATTCGAAAAATACTCGCTTTCACAATGTGTGTGTGTGTTTTTTTTATCTCAACAGTTGTCAAACCTGATGTTAAGTGAATACCGCTGCCCACCTGCTCCCTAAGGTTGCAGATGCGTTGACAACCTTTTGAAAATTGAGCTCCGGCTACCTCACTCACCAGACAAAGCGCGAAAGTAATTATACTTCCACTTTATGCCGGTCAGTTTCAAAGTTTATTACTCTTTGTTATTAAGAGATTTCTAATTATAAAAACATTTTTTCAGAACCAGTTCAGGACCAAAGATTAGAAAGGGAAACTGAGGATGAATATTTAAAAGATCCAACAAATGTTAAAAAGCTAAAATATCAGGAAAATGTATTTGGGAAAAATGTAGCACCATCATTACAGAAACAATAGTCATTATTTAATTCTGTAAAGAACTTATATTAGTTGGAAAATTATTTGGCATGAATAAACAAATCATAAATAATTTTGTCACACAAATGTGCAGTACATGCTGGTGATTCAAATTTTGCAGTTCTAATTTTTAATTTATAATGAACCATTCTTGAACTTGGATAAATTTATTGTTTACTTAGATTGGATTATGTTGAATTTGTAGCATAAATAAAAAGAATAATACATATAGGAGTAATCTTGGTGGATTATGGTTTAACATATAAAAAAAAAAAAAAAAAAAATTTGACAGTTTACTGATGTGGATACGGCTAGTCTGGTTTATTTTAGCTATTTCCACAGTATAATGTCTTATGGCATTCTACTTTGGGGAAATGCAGCCGACATAAATACTATTTTCATCCTGCAAAAGAGAGCTATTCGAGCGGTTTATAACCTGGGCCCCAAAGATTCACTAAGAAACCTGTTTAAAGAAATAAAAATATTGACTGTAGCTTCTCAGTACACACTTGCTAATGTTATGTATGTCCACAAAAATAAGAATGACTTTTCAAGATTTAGTAATGTGCATGATGTAAATACTAGGAACAAGCATAAATTAGTTCTACCCTCAACTAGATTGCGTAGAATAAGTAAATCTTTTATGGGACAATGTATATGTTTTTACAACAAAATCCCAGAAAATGTTCAAAATGAATCCGTTGCTAAATTCAAAAAACTTGTAAAGGAACGTTTGTGTGTTAATGGCTATTATAGTATTAGTGATTATATGAATGATAACACACTGGAAATGAATTGATCGCTCCAGGCTCTTTCAAGTGGAGTTTAATAATTGTACACATATTTGTAAATTTTTTTGGCAAGTAAAAAAAAAAAAATATGTCCCACTGAGTTTCTTACGCCGGTTCTTCTCAGGTCAGTGGCTTACTTTCCGAACCGGTGGTAGAGTTTTTTTGACTATCAATAAGTAAGTGAATGCTTCTATATTGAATAAAGAAAAAAAAAAAGAAAAAAAAAAAAAACAATTGATGGGCAATATTTTATCTAAATGATTTATTTAAATTGTAAAATTACTCTTAACAAATCTATATAATATAAACAATATGCGCATTTCATAATTATGACTTAATTTAGCCTTCCAATTTAACTATGTGAAGCTTTTCCTCAACTATTTGTTTAGGGAAGATCAGCAAATGGCCTACTTGAATATAAGAAAATTTGCACTATCACAACAACACTATGAAAAAAGTTACACTAACATTACTTTAGAGATGACTTTAATTTGTACACTGCAGTGATAATATAACAAAATTGTATATATAACAAAAATAAGTTTTGAAAGTAGGTATCAATCTAACTTAATTCTTACCCACCATTATGACATATTTATAAAATATTGCTACATATTTCATAAAGATTAACCAACAGCACAAAATTCAACAAAAATAATATATTTATCCTAATTTAATATTTTATTATACAAATTACAAGTAAAGAACTAAATTGGCATTATAAAAAGTTCCTAATCAATATACAGTTTTAACTTATATTTAAAAACTAAAGTTACACTTGGAGTTTGTCTGCGGAATTTGGTACTAGAGAAATTTATTACTTTATGATTGCTTTTTTAGTAGTATCTAGTAAAATTGTTCTTGGTCTAAGTTTCTTTCTTTATTCATTTACCTTCAATTCTAAAAAAGTTCATAAAATCTTAATTAAAAATGAAGTTCAGTTTAGAACTTTACCGTATCACCATTAAGTTATGCAGTTTATGCACTAGCATCAAAAATGTTCATTTTAATTTCATTAAGTGGCACAGTCTCATAACAAATACCAAAAGTATTGTTGAATGGTATGCCACAAAACGTAATTAACATTGATGTGCTTTAAATTGTTCAACCATTAAGAATTATGTTAAGATTCTTCATTAAAAGGATTTCTTAGTAGGAATGTTTCTATGGTCATGAAATCGGTATATGCCGCGAATGGGGTGTCTGTTGTTTGCAAGAACCTCCTAACAATTTCCAAGTCCTCTAACGCTCGGGTTTTGCTGATCATCCTCTCAGACTCGCCGGACTTCGGTTTCTCCGTGCCTATTGGTAGTAGCTCGTCCTTCTCTTTCTCGCGGGCTGCGTTGTCGACCACCTTGTGGTTGCCGCCGAAGACCGATCCGTTAGTGCCCTGGCCGGTTAGGAGCTCTTCGTCGACCGTCAGGTACATATCGAGGTTCGACAGGTCCGTGTAATACGGCTCCACGTCGTAATCCTTTAGGAACTTGCACAGCAGCCCCTCCTCGTCCTCCAGAAACCTGGGCCTATTAGGCGCCTCCTCAATTTTCTGCACGTCGTACCCAGTGGACACGAAGCTGCCGTTTATAACGTGTGCAGGCAACCGTTCCCACGCCTTCTCCAACATATTCAGCGCCTCCAAGCACGTCATGTTCCTGTCCACCCCCCTGACTGCGTTCATAGCCTTCTCCATCAGGAACAGCCGGCGGAACTCGTCGCGGAGCCTGCCGAATATGCCATTCCTCACCGGTATCAGGCCGGATGACGCTTTCCACGGTACGAAGACCAATTTCAAGTTTGACAGAACTAGCTTAGAGTGTATCGTCGCTCTGTCCAGTATTAGTATCGCCTTTCTGTTGTGCAACTGCAACTCCCTGTTCCAATACTTTACGTACTCCTCGAACATTTGCGTTGTGAAGTGCGCCTGCGCGTGCCTTATGTACGTAACCGGCAGCGTATCGGGATTCCTATGAGAATGCACCAAAGGATCCTCGGTGCCACACACGACCAACTGCTTCTTGTCCCTGCCGGTCACGTTAGCACACACAAATATCGAGAGGCGGTCCTTCACGTAGCCCTGGATGAACTTCTTCCCGGACATCTTCTTTATCCGGCCCTTGGACGGATTATAGTAAAAGCCCACCTCGTCCGCCGTGTATATGTCGTCGTCGGCGATCCCCAGGCGGACGTCGCACCAGGTCTCCTTGAAGAAGAGATTCTTCCACTTGCACCCGAAGGCGATATTGCTGTAGTCCCTTTTAGGTGGCGTGCCCCTGAGCGAGATCTTGTACTTGGCCTTGAAGCGGTCGAGCCACTTCTTGCTGCCGTTGAACGCCACGAAGCCGCTCTCCTTCGCGAACGACTCGGCCACATCCTGCAGCATCTTGCCGGACACCTGCACGTGGTTCGCCCGTTGGCTGTGGAACCACTCCACTATCCTCGCGTCCAGCACGCTGTTCATATACTTCTTACCGGCCTTCTTCGGCAGGGCGTACTTGTCGCGGTCCTCCCATATTTCGTTGACCACTTCGGGCGTGAGGCTGTACAGGCGGCATATGTCGGGCACCGAGCGGCCCTTGTGCATTTTGCTGACAATCGCGCACTGCGTCGCGTGGTTAAGGTCCTCACGTTTCAGGTAGCCCTCGAAGTGGTTGGTCAGGCCCTGGCTGTCGCTGTTGTCGTTCTCCGATTCGACCTCGACCTTGACGTGGGTCATGGCCGGTGAAAGGATCACGGGAGGCGGTTTCGCCTTTGGCTTCGGTTTCTCCTCGACCCTGAAAAAACATTAAAAGGTACGGTCATAGACAATAATGAAACGTCTCTACTATATTTATATTATTTATATCTTAAATATCTTTAAAAATGTGACTTGACTGGAAAAATTTTCAATCTGAATTGATATGTATAAATGATATGCATAAACTTACAGGGCTAAAAATCTCGTTAGGAAGCGGTTCTAATAGGGCGGCCTGACGACACAAAATGATGCACTTACAGGGTGGCTTTTCTAAAGGTGCCCAACTTCACACAGGAGGTTCAGACACCGCAGTATAATCGTTTATCGAAATAAAAACAAACTTTTTTACTTTTGAAACGACTAGTGTGTCTTAGTTATAAATGATCGCGCGTAAAATAAATGAGTTGCCTAAAAATCATGCGCTTTCTGAAATAAGTTAAAATGAATGTAATTAATTAATTACGAGTGATTTTAAATATAAATCATTTTTATATAACATTATTTATTAGACATAATATGAATTTAATTTCAAAAATGGATACACTTAAAAAAGCCTTCCTGTATTGTGATGAATATATTTGACGACATATTTTACGATGCATTATGTATTAAGATCTACACGTTATGATTCTAATGTTGAATGTTCTGATATGCATCCATTACACATGTGAAAAGTTGCCAAACGAGCAGACGGTTCACCTGATGGTAAGTGAATACCGCCGCCCATGGACATCTGCTACACCCGAGGGTTACAGATGTGTTGACAACCTTTTGAAAATTGGGCTCCGGCCACCTCACTCACCAGACGAAACGCGAAAGTATTTGTCATACTTCCACTTTACGCTGGTCTTCTGTGAGGTCGTGGTACTTACCCGGACGGGCCTGCCCATTCGTGCAACAGCCGCGGCTGCTGCGTGGCCCTACCACCGTAAAACATTTATTTTTACTTACAGTATAAAGTATGATGAAAATACTGAATTATCCTTAAGTTATTATGATAGAAAATAATAAAAAATTACAAAGTATAAGGAACAATACTTCAAAAAATACGCATTACGATAAACGTCATTTGTTCAGCGTTACTTTGTGTGTATAGGGGGTATGAATTATGTTTTTTATATGTGACAAGTTGCCAAGCGAGCAGGCGGTTTACCTGATGTTAAGTGAATACCGCCGCCCGCGGGTTGCAGATACGTTGACAACCTTTTGGAAATTGGGCTCCGGCTACCTCACTCAGCAGACGAAACACAAAAGTATCATACTTCCACTTAACGCCGGTCTTCTGTGAGGTCGTGGTAAGTACCCGGACGAGCCTGCCCATTCGTGCGCACCAAAACGAGCGATCGTACAGTCAGCTCTCACATGGTAATATAACTAATCATACATAATTATGTGAAATGATTAATTGTGATATTGAAAGGTCAATCTTCCACTCACTCACTTTATGGTATTCACCATTTTGCCATCGGCGTTTTCCGGTAAGTCGTGCGCGGCCAAGTGAGCATCAAGCAGTTCCTGTGTCTGGAACTTTAATGGACACCTAGGGCACGGCTCCGTAGGTTCGTGTGTACTCAGGTGTCGGAGCTGAAATTATCAAGTTTATTATCAGTTGACAGTAAAATGGATTGATAAGAGATTTTTCTGTGGGATGGCAAGCCTTCGCTGTTGCATAAATAGGAAAAGAAACACGGTGTCGCCGGTGATCGTGGTGTTATACATCTACGTTAGGCGAAAAGTAAACTTCTTTTTTTTTATCGAAACAAATAAATAACAAAACGAGCTCAGGGAAGACCGGAGGCGAAGACCTCTAAAAGTGGCGTCTAAAAAAGATACTTATGGACGGCCCTCTAAAATCCCTCTAAAATCCTCAAAAGGTTTGTAACAACAACCCTGTGGTAGTTGTAGATCACCATGAGCCACGGCATTTTGAAAACAAGCAAGTGTTTAAGACATGAAAATAATTCTCCTCATGGCATAAATTAATTATTGATATATTAATATATTAAATTAAATTAAACTTTCTTGTTACCTCAGGTGAGTGAGGTAACTGAAGCCCACTTTATTTAAAGGTTGTGAAAGCATCTACAAAAAAACTGCAGAGCCTTACCATATTTATTTTTAGCGAGTATGCTGTTCCACAAATTGGACATATTTCCATCTTCTCCATATGAACTCGACTGTGCAACCGCAAACTGAATGCCTTGTTGAAATATCGTCCGCATGGCTCACATTTATGTCTGTAATGAACATTAAATAACATATTTTAGTCAATGTTGTCTACAGATACATCATTGTAACTATTGCAGATGTGTTTCTTTAATATAGACTTTGTAATTGTTTTAGTTTATTTATATAGCTATTTAAATTAAATAAGATTACAAATAATTATCAAGTTACAGGAATACTATATTTTTTCTAGATGGATATAAAAATCATTTTTATATGCTTATTGTAAAAGAATTCAGATAGTGACATGGTAATAAAAGTTTTATATTCTTTGTCTAACTTACTTTCCTCACCAAAAAATAGACTACCAAGTGTTTCACAGAAATTTTTACATAACAATTTGTTAAAGTACCATAAAAGTTTATGAAAAGCTTAAAAGTTAGGTCAGAATCTCACATACTATAATAATTAAAATAAGTAAAGTACCAGCCTAGATATGTACCACTGCTGGGCAGAGGCCTCTCTGTAAAGATGGTACTAGGGTATAGTCAACCAGCCATTGATTTACTTATCTTCAAAATATTTTTTTTGTTATTATTTTGAAAATAAGCAGGTTTCCTCAGAATATTTTCCTTCACTGCTGAGCATGTGACAAGTCAGCACTTAAAATTAACAAGTTCACTGGTATCGGTGATTGAACTCATATTGCTTGAGTATATTTAATTAAAAACGAGCTCCTTGATGTTGTCTAAGGTTATTTCTGTAACTATTGATGAATACGACAAATGTCCAATACCTTGTAACTACTTGATGTTCTTTGGCATGATTTTTAAGTTGTGTATTATGTTCAAATAAAGCATCACATTGAGGGCATTCAAATATTCTCTTTCTCTTAGTTTGATTAGGCTGTCTTTTCCTCCGTTTTTCCAGTCTTGTGTTTGATGTTGTGGAGACATTTTCCTTGCGGTACTGAAATTGTTTTATATGGGTTTTCTTCTCTAACAAGTTACTTAGGTTAATAGAACAGATAATAGATAGTAAAAAAAATATACGCTCTATATTACAAACAGTATCTTTAGTTACACTCTACGCATTTTCTCACTTTATTGTACCAATTTCTGATTAGAATCCTCCTTCAAGTTTGTTTGAGGTTTGTTGGAAAATATAAGATTGACATTATAATATTAAGAGGGCTAACATGGCAAGTAATAATGACTAATATGGTAAGTTGTATGTGAAATTTTAATCTTCGGCACATTATAAATCAAAATAAATCTGGACATCAAATATATTTCAACATTCTTTGCTCATTTCGATTTTTACTCCGGAATCCGGTATTATATTTTTTATGAAACTTGTATCTTTTATAAATCAAAAAAAAAAAATATTTAATAATCTGACATTTAAATTTATGGAATTCACTTTAATACTACTATTATTATAGTGCATTTTATTAAATTAAAAAAACACAAAAATATATCCTGCATGAGAATTAAATGAGCAAGGCAAAAATTTACCCCACTAAAATCCAAGGGACCTTCGCCTATTTCTTCGACCTGTACATGGACAAACATTTGCGGCATAAGTTGTTTTTCTTCATGATCGACATAAGTTTTTCTTGGAGGTCTCTTTCTTTTATTAGCCTTCTTTTTGACTTTACTTTTGAGAACTGATAAAACCTCATCTTCAGAAGAAATTTCGTTGTTCTTAGGTGAGTTTTGAACATCGTCAGTCGACGCCATTTTCACTAAACTTTATAGGTACTAAATTTTGGTTAAAACCATTTCTTAATAATTGTACATGATCTGATAGTAAATAAAAATAAATATTGAACATTTGACGCCATTTTTGATAGGTGTCAAAATTCTTATGTAGTTAGTTATAATTCATTAAATAAATTGCCCTATAAAAATATTTAATGCAAAAGTTAACAATAAAATAAAACTGGGTGGTTCATTGAAATATGACTTAAGTACCTACCTGATGTAACTTAAGCATGTTAGTAATGCCTAATTTTTATATTTATTTGTGAAATATTTTATTTTAGAGTTTATTAAGAATGCCCGTTTGCTTTTTTTTGATTTAGAATGGCAACTGCGTTCATGTCAACGTTAAAAAGTTATCGCTGTCATTAATGATATGAAAAAAAACCAACGCGCTTCGCTTCTCTTTTGGAATTTATGGTACTGTAACAAGGCTCGCTTTTGTGTTTCGCTACGGAAAAGTTGAAAAATTTCGGTACAATCATGTCAACAATGCGCTAATAGCGTTTCTATTGCAACAATACAACGTGTAAGCGATATTGAATGTAAGACTTATCGTTTTACGGATCAATATTGCTCTTGCCCTGTTATGTGTCCCTAGCGTCACTTCTGCAAATGGAGACCAAGTCCGGCGTCGGCATTCAAGATCACTGGATGAAGAGTGTTATGGAGCCGGCTGGTAGTGAAAAACAGATGCAAATTGACAATAGATCTGTTAAACGTGAAAAAATGGCTGAACAGTACAACGGTGCTGACAATAACGTGACTTATGAGATGAAACAGCAACAGAACGACACAAGATATAGATGCGATGTGTGTGATTTAACTTTTGAGGAAATGGAGTATTTGATACTGCATAAAAAGTTTCACGGCAACGATAAAGACACTCCCCCAATGGAACCCGAAGCCCCGCCGGTCAAAGAAGGCCCGAAGAAACGTCGTAAATTTAAGTGTGACTTGTGCGACGTTAAAGTGAACTCTCAATATCATCTCGACATTCATCGAAGTAAACACGAGGGTATCGCATCAAAGAAATACATCTGTGAAGTTTGCGACCGTAGTTTTGTTGCAGCGCAGTTCCTAAAAAGTCATATGCAAACCCATTCATCAACTAGCACCATAAATTGTGACATTTGCAACAAAAGTTTCACAGGCCAAGCGTATCTGAAACTACATATGCAATTACACAATGACATTAAGAAGTTCAAATGTTCAAAATGCGACGAAATGTTGCCCACTAAAAACTGTCTAAAAATCCATATGAAGAAGCATACTAAAGTGAAAAATTTCAAGTGCGATTTCTGTCATAAGTTGTTTGTTTCGAAAATTACAATGGAGAAACATAGGCAGACTCATGAAGGTCAACCAGTAGATTGTCATGTAAAATGTACTCAATGTGATAGAACTATGCATTCGTCATTATTGCGGACACATATTGCTAGGGCTCATCCGCTTACAGTTGATGACGATGTGAAACGGCCCCACAAATGTTCAACTTGCGGTAAAAGTTTCATTGTTAAGATTAATCTGAATCTCCACATAAGGGTTTGCCATCCAGATCTTGCAGAGCCAGAGGATGAAGATGACGATGTCATGACAGACAATTCCTAGTTAAGCTCTATAACTATCATGTATTATTATCTGATAATAATTATACTTTTTTATGTTAAGAAATAATTTTGTATTTTATTTCTTTTATTTTTAAGGCTAAAACTTGTTCTTATCAATGCACTGAATAGGTGATAAAATAAAACAATTATGAAGATTCTGGTTGTAGAATATTTTTCTTGGCCATATATTTGTGCATGTTCTGTGACTAGCATATTTTTATATAAAACAAAAATAAACAATTATGACAATAAAATTTGATAAGAATTTTCATTAAACTTTTATTTCAAATAAAATTTTCCAATCTTTTTCAATACAATGTTAAAGATGTGAATCCAATACCTTGTATGTTTTAAGTGAAATGTATGTAACAACAATTTTATTTAGTATGTTTATAAGTTCTGAAAATAGCATGAAAGATTTGTTTTCAAGCAAAATTAGTTTTATTACAAATATTAAAAATTATATTACTGAAAGAAATTAGCTGCTGGCTTCTAGGCTTTATGTCAAGATGAATGACAATATTCAAAATAATAGTATTGCTTTGAAGTCTATCTCCTTGCGAAGTTACCAAGAGTCAGTTCAAGCACTGTGTATATTTTATTATTCAATAAATTATCCTTCTTTTCAATTGAATCGTGAGGAGCCCAAGCCCATAGTTTGATTCATGATCATTCAATTCAATTCATTCATTCCCTCTACCAGGCGGTGCTTGTTAATGTTAAACCAATCAGCATCGAGTAATTATAAACAAAAACTGAACGGAGTAACGAGCATTTAATTCATCCACGCGTCGATAGATGGAGCAAAGCGATCTAATTTTTTTTCACACGATACACAATATGATCTAAATCATTATTATTATCATCATCATTTCACCCTGTTTGAGTCCACTGCTGAACCAATGTTCAGGCCTATATTTTCCTTACAGACTGCCACGAAGCACGATCTTAACCCACCTGCATCCATCGACTTCCCGCACATTTGCAGAGGTCGTCTTGCCGTGTGGTGTAGGCGTAATAATAAGCCACCCCATCTCATACCGTGGGTGGCGACTAAAGGCCCATTTACACGGTGCCAGTTTCTTGCCTGTTGTATACAATTAAATTGAAGCAATAAATGAGTTGCATGGTCTAAACAAGAAATGGTCCAAACAATTATTGCGCGCAATTTATTGCATTCAATTATTGCTCTTGTATGTTCAAGAAAATGGCATCGTGTAAATGGGCCTTTAGGGATAAGCCACAGTCATCTGGTGGCTACCGGTAGGTGGCGGGATAACGTTCTCGACCTTCCAGGCCTTAAATATCCAGGAGAATTACGGGCAGCAGCGTTATAGGTGCGATGAGTCTGGAGGAACTGTAGTTGCCAACCAGTTTTTAAGATGGAAATCCAAATCTAAATAAAAGTAGTCCAAATCTAAATAATCTAAACTATATAATTTACCGATAACCGGACCGCGAACAGTTTCGGCCATGGCTGATAATATCATCGTTTATCGACCAAGATTGAGACTGAAATTGCTGTCGGCCCTTACCCCTTCTTTAAATGCAATAAGTGAAAAATAGACGAAAAGTTTTTGCGTCGCTGCGAAGATTTAAATATGCATCCTCCGGAACACGCATCCGATGCTCTAGCCACTGAGCTAATAGGCTTATCTTGACTCAGACGAAAATATCAACGTACTTTAGATAAAGTAACTAAAAACAAAGTACCTAGATAGGTACTTCATTTTTAACGCTTATTTTAATTAATTTAGTTACGCCTTAAAAATAAGAAAGGTGAACGAAAGAAATAAGAATAAAGGTCAAAGAATTATATCGTTTAATGTAACTTCGAAAAAAAAGCAATAATTTAAAGGGATAGAAACTCACTTGAAAAAACTAAACTTACCTAAATATGGTAGAGAGTATTAAGGTACTGTGCTTTTTTTACATTTTACATACTATAATAATAATATAAAACTATTAACTGTTAATTAATGTAAAATAGTGTCGTTATTAGTTAAAACTTAGAAGTACCTAACTACCTACTATGTACTCTGACGATATCAAGAAGAATGGTGTAATATATCACAAAAGTGTTATATTATTGTTGATATGCCTAGATTTCTAATAAAAGTAGATTCCTTCTAGGTACTTATTTGCTGTATGTTTATTTGAAAATTTACACGAATATGAGATACAGATGACGTTCTATTATCATTTAAAAGATGATGTCTTTGAAAACAAATGCAAAATCATATTTTATAGTAAGAGAACATATTATGAAGAGAATATGTATTAAATACAAATAACTATGAAAACGAAAAATAAACTTAGACTGAAATTTAATTAATATTTCATGTTTTTATTTGGTGTCTTTAGGTTCAGCATCTTCGACTGGTTTTACTTCGGCTGCTGCTACATCTGCGGCGGCTTGCTGTAAAAAATATTAAAATTATATCTAATGAAAATAGAGGACCGTCGTGGGTTTGATTCCCACACTGGACAACTATATATTTGTGCGACCCACAGATAATTGTTTCAAATTTACCATTTGTATAATTAAATTGCAGTTTTATTTATCTTTTTCAATATCATCCGTCACGTTGATCTAGATATGTCATAATAAAGCGGAACAATTTTTAAACGCCGCGCATTATGAACATGCGTCATAATATATATTATTATACATCATTAATTGCGCTAGATTATATTAAAAATTTAATTAAATCTTACCGCTGAGGCTTTTTTTAAATCCTCATTTTTTTTCTTCTGTAGCTCTTTAGTGACCTCTCTGATGAGTTCCAATTCTTCCAAGTGCTTCTTGGACAACGGGTCGAAAAGCATAACGACTTCCTTGCTGGCATCGCCCATGTTTTCCCGAAACTTTTCGTATCGAGACATGAGTAAATTGTAACGGCCTCTGTCTATGTTGTTGATTTCCATGGTGGATATTGTTTATTGTTTATCCTGTCAATAAAATGTTAGATAGAACCGTTAGTCACGCAATAATGAATTCAAATATATTTTTGTATTATTTTAAATTTATTGAAGCTTTTTAACTAGTTAAGGTTACATAAGGCTATTTAGTAGTAATACTACAGAACGCTACTAAAACCCGGAAGCCGCACGTTCATACAAGTGATTGTTAATAAACTATTTATTAAACATTTCATTTCATTCATTCAACACTCACTGACAGTTATCACGCGCTGTCAAACAAAAATTTACTTATTCTTTAGTTCAACAAGTCTAAATCTCTAAAACAGCCTCGCGGTACGGTTTATAAGCCCAACGCCGTCACGGTTTAGTTTTTAGTTATGTCACTTTGGAGCGACAATAATGCTTCCATGTATATTTGCGTTCGCTGCATAATTCACATTTTTATTTTACACATTTAATTGGTAACGTGTAGATAAAGTAACGAACCTCTCCTGTATAGGGTTTTAGAACACAGTCCCCCACGCGGATTCAGTCTGGATTTTGTTATGTGAAAAGTTTGCGAAAGAACATTACATCTACAATACCTGAGGGCTTGCAAATGCGTTGCCAATCTTTAAATACAATGGGCCCCGGTTTTCTTCATTCACACCGGTCTTCGAGATTGTGGTAGCTCGGAAGTAGTTTCGTGGCCCTATCACATTATGTAACAGACTTTGCATACATGTCAAAATTAGCACTTAGAATTGCTATTCACAATTAGATTGGTGCCTATGGCTATGGAGTTTTATGGATCTCAGGCTGCTAGTTAACTAGTCCAAAGCCTAGCGTCCACATGTCTACCATGCTTTTCCCATTCGCAAAATGTATCATCCTAAACCCAGTATACGTCAGTATTATATAAGTTACCTCTTTGAAATTGCCATAAAATAAAGTCACTAAATGCAATTTTAATCAGACTCATCGAGTTTGAAACCAAACAATGTCTGTACTTGTAACTCCCGCCATTAGAATACCAACCATTCCAAACACAAAGCTAGCTTCATTGTTTATAAGCTTTGTTGTATTTACTCGAAATTATTCTATTTTAGAAATAAACTTACCTAAACTACTCGTGTCCGATGCCGAATTAAAAATGATTCAAAGCCCACCAATTCTTTTTATATGTCTTCGTGCGTCGTAATGGTTATGGTATGGACACTTGTTAGTAACCTTTTTTCTGCAGTGTTTGAAACTAAATTGGAACAAATGCACATTTGTGGGCTTATAAAAGGCGGCAATTAATTAAAATTCAAAGAAGCACTGTCTTTTTGCTTTTGTTGACAATATTAGATAAGTATATTAACCATTTCCTTGCATTTAGTGTGTGGTAGGTATCGATTGTTTGTTATGGCTTATATTTATTTCAAATCTAGTTCATTCCCATGGATCTTGTTACAGTGTTAAAACTTAAACGTCGTATATTCATTACGAAAAACTGTATTTATGTCCTCTGAACTTGATATGGATCTCAAGATATGGAAAAATATAAAAAAATTATATGCAAGTTTTGGCGATTATTCTCCTCATAAACTCTATAATGTTCGTGAAACCTGGTGAAATATTACGAAGCCTATTTGATATAAATTTATAAAAACCATCACATAAATAAATTCTAAAAACTAAAGATAAAGATCTAAGAACTGAAGAAAAGATTCTAAAAACGGTTTTTATCTATATATTTGTATCTTTACATATAAACGCTGGTGAAACGCGCAAAGATGGTGGCACCGTATCAAGTTCCCTTATTAAGTCAATTAACTTACTCATATTAAGTCTCTTGAATAATCCCTCCTTTGTCCTATAGTTTCAAATTTACGTAAGTTTTGGACCGAAAAATGTTTAAAGTGTCTGAGGTCAACAGGTCAATCTAATTTATAAAACATAACTTCAACCCACAATTTACATACGAACAAACAAATGATTATAAATTGTAATTATTTCTAGAAAGGTTGAATGAATATTTAATTGTTTTTGCGTGTACCTATAAATTTGTTAACACCCTTTAATTCTATTTATTTAATCTTAAGTGCGTTTCCCTCAAAATTCCAGAGCACAAAAAAGGCTTAAAGGCCTACAGGGTTCCTACCAGAACCAAAAATAAATAACCCACACATATGTGCGTTATATTTTTAATTTCATTGTAGTGTTCGAGTTACAATGAATTTGAATTCTTGTTAAATTTTTTTACGTGAATATCACTCATTTCAATTAAACTAGTTTACGGATTAAATAACGTTCTTTTTTATTTTAAAATCTCGACGTTTCGAACGCCTTAAAGCTTTTATGGCCAATGGAGATGTTTGACGTTGTTTTACTGTAATTCGAAAAAAAAAATGTGGCGTGCGTCAAGGCTATGGATTTTTAAAGAACACGCAACAACCGGGCTATTCCTCTTATTATAATGTGTTAAATAATTGAGCTTTCGACAGTAACATTGTTACCCATTCACGTTAATTAAAAGACTATAACATTAATTATTGACTACGTTACGTATTAAGTTACGTAGTCAATAATTTATTACGTTACCTTACAACAATTTTTAATCATAATTAACTCATTTTACAATTATAAAATAGAAGCTTCAAACATGGGAAAATTGCAAATATTTATTTTCATTTGATCATAAATTTATTTTTCTGTTAGTGCATTGCTTGGTATTAGAATAATAAATCATTTACACCCAGTTTCTGGAACACTGATCATCGTAGAATTTAACTAATCAGCTGTCAGATGGCATTTCAAATATCATTTGAGCTGCCAAGAGGATGGTTAAACTCTCTGAATTGATAAGAATGATCGGAATGATCAATTCAAAGAGTTTAACCAACCTTTTTCCAAACCAAACCGGGCATTAGTCGGTCTTTAGTAAGTGAATTAACAGGGTACTTAAATGTAATAATCATCATCGCAATCCTCGTGCCCTATTCCCGCCTAGGTGGTCTGCCCAGCGATGTGAATCATGTTATAAGCGGTTTTGGTTATGATTATTATGGCCCGCCTGACGTGAACTCACCTTGTGAAACAAACACCCAGATCCGGAACAATTTTCTGTGGGTCGCACAAATACTTGTACGCCGAAGCGAATAGCATACTAACGGCGCCACCAAGTCATGTACTTATATGTAATCGAACGGGCTATATAAAGAATAACAATGTTAAAGAAAAATACATTATTCTAAAGGTCAACGTAGCACGTTCTTTGTTATTTGAACGAGAAGGTCGGGGTTTGCAGTGAACTAATTAATTCGTGAATGTAATCAGTAACCGTTATCCGCATGGGGGTATTGCGTTTGGCTAGTCATTTCTCATATTGGCCAACGTTGCCATTGTTGTTTTTGTTTTACCAATGGAAAATATATGCTACAAATATTTTAACGAACGTATTTTAAAGTTTATCTGTTTTCCCTTTTAAATTCCCGTCGTATTTAAAACTTTACGTCATCCATGGTTTAGTTACTTTGGTAATAACATTTTATAATTTTTTCATGTTCTGCCAATATAAAATTCTATGGTTTTATTCTCTTATCGCAGTCAAAGAATCTTTATTTAATATAGCCTTAAATTAAGCTCTTATTGAACGTCAACAAAAAATCTACCACCGGTTCACTAAACTAGACCTGCACAGAGAAGAACCGGCAAGAAACTCTGCGGTCTTGTTTTTTTTTTTTGTTATTTTTTTTGTGATGCAATTATACAAACTTATTTAGGTACAAAATCAGAAGCAGCCAGCATCAGGGGTCCTGCAAGTGCAGAGTAAGAGTCATTTCCACACATTCTTGTCTTCAATGTATTCTTAGACATTATAGTAGGCCCTTGCCATTAAGGTTGCTTTTACAAATTGTTTGAAATTGTTTATACTTAGTTGTTTGTGGATGTCACCTATTTTATTATAAAATATTATATTATATTCGTATAAAATTTACAATTTTAATTGAGGTACGGCTTCTGCTTTCCATGCTTATAGAAGACCGGCATGAAGTGGAAGCGTGATACTTTCGCTTTTCATTTGATAAGTGAGGTAACCGGGGCCCACTATTTTTAATACCGGCAACGCAACGGCGGTTACTGCCACTTTTCTTCGTAAAAAAATCGATAAAACCAGATTCTGGATCATTCAAAAGTCTTTATTTATTCCTGAAAAAACAGAGCTTGGAAAACGTTTAGCTTGGCTCTATGCACACCAGCGACAAATTGTTCGGGTGAGAGCTTTTCTTGGTTATAGCGTGTGAAAAACTATTTACAATCGACTTTAAGTCAAGAATAGTTAAAGGCCTTATTAACTTTACTTGGCTTAAAGTCAGAAAGTCAGTTCAGAAGTCAGTATAAGGGGCAGCAAAAATTGAACAGAACTATGCCTATAAATTTGTAAATCCGCCACTGATCCCATGACATTTTTATTAAACGCGAACTGAGGGTTGGTTGAATTATAAAATTACACTGTATCGTAAAGACGTTTTACAAACATAAATTTCACGAGGAAAAACACAAAAAACATCCCAGACGTGGGTCGCATAACAAGCTGCCCCGTCTGTGAATCGAACCCACGATCGCCGGCGCCTAAGCTGATACATTGGCAACTGCGCCACGGAGTCATCGATTCAATGATTATTTAATTGCTTGCTAACAGTTACGCTAAAGTTTACGCTTCACATCTTTTTCTGGAGGTTTAAGCATTATAACTTACGTAACTGCACTTTTTTAATACAATCATCACTACATAGTATAAAACAAGGTCGTCCCGCTGTCTGTCTGTCCGTATGTATGCTTAGATCTTAAACTACGCAACGGATCTTGATGCGGTTTTCTTTAACAGATAGAGTGATACAAGGGGAAGGTTTATATGTATAATACATTGCACCCGTGCGAAGCCGAGGCGGCTCGCTAGTGCGACA